TGCTTCTCTGCCAAGACATCCTGCCTTGGAGCTTACCAATAATGGACAGAAACCTCTACAAATAAACCTCTCCCTCTTTAACTTTGAATGTTGGATATTTCCTCAGCAACAAGAAAAATGATGAAGACACTTTAATGTGTACAATAAATTGTCTTCTGGTGCTCATATTATCAGAAGTACAAAACACAATGAACACCCAATTCTATGCTTTCCAGCCTGGAGGATATTTTATTTTATTGCCAAGACACAGCTCAGCCATGCACAGAAGATAATGGGGAACCATATGCACCTACCTACAACCTTGTCTCATGTACATCCTGTTCATGATCAATTCGTTTTGAGAGAATTAAATCATAAACAATGACTTTGTTATTTTTGCACATTCCCAAATAAGATTCAATATTCTTGAAATGGTCTTGCCCTAGAATAAATTACTGTATGGTTATGGCGGTGGTCTAACCTTGGCAGAAGGCCAAAGCGGGACCTCCTAACCACTTCCTGCTTCTTCCTCAGCCTTAATTGCAACTCTCCTTTCTGTTTGCACGCGAAGAAATCTCCAATCAGCTCCTCGAGACTCATCAATGCCCGCCCTAAGCACCACCCCGGTCATAGATCCCATACCCCACGTTCCAGTAGAGAAATCCAGGCCGCTGGTGGTCATGGAGCTCTCTCCACATCCTTGGAGTAAAGGCTATTTTTACTTTATATTCCTCTATTTCATCACACTGAAAACTCTTTCATAATGGTGCTGTAAGTCAGATGGCAGAGTGAGTGGCTCCTGGGAAACCCTCCCAGTTTGAGTCCCCTGCCTAAGAACCACCTTTTTCTTCCTCCAGGACTGTTTATTTTCTACTGCTAATCCACATGCAACAGCAACCTTCCTCACTCCACGCAGGTGACCTGCTGTCCAGGGTTTTCTGTTTCTGTTCCTTAGCAAGCTTATGACAGAAAACCCATCCTGCCATTCCAGAACAGGGATACCAGTTTTCAGGCTCCTTAGGCCACATAGCTTGAGGCAAAACTGATATTTTTGTTCCCTGGGACCCCACCCCACACTCTTTGGTGACCCGGCCAAGGAGAATGGGTGTCACACTTTCAAAATAGGTGACGACATTTTTTGTTAAGTGTGACCCAGGACAGCTTCCATGTTCCTTGGGAGAGAGCAAAAGCTCTTACATCCCGAGGTGAAGTTGTTCTCTCAGCTCACTTATGATTCGGCCACTGGGATCACTTCCTGTCACCCGAAAAACACACCTCTGGGTGCCTGGTTCATAATCTTGGTGCTCTTGGCCTCTAGAAGGCTATAAAAACCAAAAAGCTTATCTTTTATTTGTGCTTTTGTCACAATGGCGGCAAGTTGGCAGAAACCCTTCATCCTTAGGCCTTTTTCACTTTAAGGACATGTTCTTCTCTCGCTCTGCTCCTCCCAGATCTCTCCCTTCCTCCCACAGGACCCCTTAGATGATGTCTCTTGTCGGCTCCTCCCCTGTATCTCTCATATCAAATCCTGCAGCTTTCTCAGCCGAGGTTTCTTTGCCCCCTGCACCATCCATTTCCCATTTCTCATCGACAGCAGCCTTCCCTTAGCATCTCTCCCCAGCCTCTAACTTCTCAAGCCCCTCAACTGAAGCCGTCTGTTCTATCTAGAGGTTCTTTGTCCCCTTCCCCTATATCACCATTTTCTCTGCCTGTCTGGTGAGGTCCAGCCTTCTGGCAGGCCACGTGGTTCTCAGCAACCATGTCGCTGCAGCTCTCGGGGAGGACAGCCGCCATCTTGTGGCCCTCACCATGTGGCAGGGTGCTGCCATCTTGCAATGGGTCTCAGAGTCAACTACCACCCCCTTGTGCACCCTCATGGGATCAGCAGCTAACTAACTGCGGGTCACATGATGACCAGCCGCCATCTTGCACCCCTTCACTGTGTTACCCGCAGGAGTTAGGCTGCTGTGGAACACACAGTGACCCGCCAACAGCCTGCATTTCCTTGTCACATGGTGACGAGTGCTGTTTTATAGCCAATCATTGGATAATTGCCCACCCACACCTGCGAGACACTTGGCTGCTCAGTGGCTACAGCCTTCTCAGCCTCAGTCTCTGCTCCTCCTTCAGGAATAGGCTGCCCGCATTCCCAAGACTTTGGCTAACATTTATGTTCCTTTTTTCCTTTCTGAGCTATCTCAGATTAGCCATAAATTAGGTTCCTTTTCTGGTATTCCTATTTTAAGAGATCTCTGTTAATTGATCTACAAAAAGGTTCACAGTAGTCTATTTATTATAGCCCAAATATATTTGAGTGCACTCTGATTTTATAAGATGATTGTCGGTCTATATATCTGTTGTCTGTCCATTTGCCTGCTCTGTAAACAGCTGCTTATTTTTCTTCCTCTTTTACATTTTCAGATCATTTATGCAAATGATCTGATTTAAAAAACAAGCTTCCACCTAGGTTTCCAGCTGGTCAAAATGAATGGTTAAATAAAATCCATTGGGGTGAGGAGACATTGGACAGGACTTCAATTGATGAACAAGAAAGTGGCCACCTGGTAACTTTAACCAGCTCTTGTTCATTAATTGGAGGTTCCAATAATCTCCATAGCCTTATGGGAAACACCTCAACTAAACTTTATATGACTAAGAAATTCACTGATCTGATGGTATATTCATGCCTTCAAATATAAAATTAGGGTTGTTTATGATGACAAGTGTTTTCTTTCAGAATCAGATGTCTGCCTTTTTCTTGTGCTCTAGTCAGGAGATTCATGACAGACCAACACAAGGTCACCAGTCAAGTGATAATTTTTAAACAAAAATTTATATAATGTATAAAATTTCTTCAGTGCTCAAATGCTAAAACACCCATGTTTAATAGAAAATAATAATTCCATTTAATGTTCTATGTTAAGCTTACTGTCTCTACTGTACTATTATCAATCTTCTGAATGTTCAATAACTAAAATTAAGAGATAATTATAAATCCTTTTGGATTCCTTTTGCTGGGATCCACCAGGTCTTTTCCAAAAAAAGATTATATGATGCTTATTGGGGCCATAATAAATTATACTCAACTGGTATTAAATGACACTGCAGCTGATCTCTTTCCTAAATAAAAAGGTAAAATTAATACAATAGGCCATCTTCCAAAAATCGGACGGCATTAGACATTCTAATAGCATAAGAGGTACTTACATAATGATAAAACCTAAATGTGTATATGACAAATGAATGACATGTCTGTTTATAAAATTCCCTGGACCTTATCCTTATCCTCCTTATGGGAAGCCATTGCTAAAGTTATAATCATAAATACCCTGTTGATTCTATTATTTGACTCCTGTATACTTAATTGATTCTTTGCCTTTGTCTCCTTTAGCTATAAAGGAACTCCTTTAGCTATAAAGGTGTATAGCTTTAAAGCCTATACACCTACACAAGATAAAAACCAGATGTCTTGTGACTGTGGAGAAGAAAGTTATCTTCCACTGGGGGCCAGATCCCAAGGCAAAAGGCTAAACTTGGCCCTCACTCCCCACATGGAGGCCTTCTTAATATGCCTTTTTGTGTTTTTAACAACAGAGATAAAAATCAAAAGGAAAAATAACAATGTGATCTTTTAGCAGTGACACTTGGAGCTCTGAGACAGGTAAACTGACACAAGGTAGACAAGCCCCTCCTGGACCATGCAACAAAGAAGAGCATTGGGAAAGAGAGTGCTCCAATCCCTGTGTTCTTTTGGGCCCTTGCCCTATTGCAATCTCAAGGGTCATTGGAAGAGTGACTGTCCTAGCCACCAAAGAGCGGGTAAGCCATCCTCTAACTCCTTCCCCTCATAGGAGATCTCATCACCACCAGATTTATCACTGACTGATCTACTCAGACTTGCTGCTGAAGACTGATGGGGCTCAGGGTCTACAGCCCTCCATTAAGGTGTCCTTCTCAGAGTCCCGAGTCCCACTATAGGTCTCAGGTAAGACATTCTCTGTACTTGTAGACATAGATGCTATGTATAGTGTTATTCCTGCATTTTTAGGCTGCTATATTAAGTCCTCAGTAATGGCCAACCTATGCAGCCTTTGCAGACAGGGCCTATTCCATGCAGGTTCCAGACTCCTTTCTTCTCTGGCAGATCCCATAGTTTGAGATACCTCCAATCCCACCTGCACTATCCATGCCATGCCTATTTTAATTCATCTCAGGGATCCTTCAATTTTACCTTGTGTTCCTCAATATTCCATAGCTCCCAAATATTTACAGGGACTTAAACCTAATAATTAGGTGCCTTTTAGACAATGGTTTTCTTAAACCTATCCATTCACCCTATAATACTTCCATTCTCCTGGTACTCAAGTCATATCACCTAGTGTAGGACCTTAGGGTAATCAATGGTGCCAATCCCTTATACCCAATCCACCCAATGGTGCCAACTCTTATACCATGCTCTCTCATATCCCTCCCTCCACCAGTCACATTACAGTCATAGATCTTAAAGACGCCTTTTTTACCATCCCCCCTACACCCTGATTGTCAGAATTTCTTTGCATTTACATGGAGTGATCCAGACACTCAAGTATCAAGAATTTACTTGAACACTGCTGCCCCAAAGGTTCAGGGATAGTCCTCACTTATTTAGCCAAGCTCTTGCTGCTGACCTTGCAGAACTTGATCTCAAATCTAGCACTCTCCTTCAATACAAAAATGACCTTCTCTTATGTTCTCCATCCTATATGTTAGCCATACAGCATTCAGCTAGTCTCCTTAATTTTCTTGCCAGTCATGGGTACAGGGTCTCTCCTGCTAAAGCCCAAATAGCTTCCCCAAAAATCAGATTTCTAGGTCATCATCACTGACTTACATAACTGTTCCCATATAGGATCATAGGCTCTATACAGACTCTTAGCCCCAGTAGTTACACATCCTTCTCTAAAAGCTATTGCATTGATCAGGGTTTTACTAGAGAGAATAGATATAACCCGGGATATACAGAAACAACAAGATTGGCTTACAATAGTCAGTCACAGAGTCCGATGAGGAAGCCTGCAGCAGGTGTCTATGCACTGGAAGCCGAAGGATTCAATCCAAGGTCTGGAGTTCACCCTAGTGTCTTGTGCAAGTCCACACCAGCAGGCTGATGGGTTTGTGACAGAAGGCTGAAGGCTCTGTGATGAAAGGCTGAAGAGTCTACGCTGGAAAGCTGAAGAGTCTATACTGGAAGCCAGGAGGCAGGTCCAAACCAAAGGCAAAGACTGGAGTTTCTCGCAAGAATGGAATGAATTCGTCCTTCCTGGGATGAAGTATAAAAGGGGAGGCCCCTTTTATACTTTGATGTGATGACCCACCCTAGGGTGGGTCTTCTTCTACATCCTTGGGTGTAGAATTGCTAAACTGACTTAGTTAGCTTCTAACTGTCTCAAGTTGACATAATCAATCAACCACTACAGCTATCATTCTTCAGATTACTCACACTTGTCATCTCTCTGCTAGGACCTCTCTTCGGGGACAAAGTACCCCCTTCCTTTCCTACTCATCAATTTTGTGGACACATCCCTGGTCAGGACTGACAGATTTTACACACATGCCCCGCTATAAAATTCTCAAATATCTTCTCACCTTTGTACTTTTTCAGGATGGATAAAAGCCTTTCCCACAAGCAGAGAGATCGATGATGTACTTACTAAAGTCCTGTTACAGGAAATCATCCCAAGATTTGGTCTACCTCAGAGTATTAAATCAAATAATGGTCCAGCCTTTATTTCTCAGATCAATCAACGGACTACAATCAAGGTGAAACAGTCCCTACCTAGTCTTCTTGGAAATCCTCACAATGGTCAAAGCCACTGGACTGCCATCCTGGTTTCACATCACTCAAGCTAAATGATGCCCTCCCATCCCTAAATCTAACCATCCTGAGTGGGCATCTCATCTTCTATCACCCACCCATCTCTGTCTCATCAAGGCCTCACAGCCACAACTCTCAGGATAAGTCATGTTTTGTTATCCACTTTGATTCCTAATTCCTTATATTCTATTAATTAATTATCCTTTTACAGCAGGACTCTTACAGTCTTTCCTAAAGACTCCCACATCATGTGTAAGATTGTCTTCATGTTGTTCTATGTGGTAACTGTCTTAGTTCTCTCTAGCCTCAACTGTATGGTCAAATGTGAGATCCTTGAAGGCCTAGGCTCTTATCTCCCTTATAGTAACACAGCCATGGCCCTCCCCTCCTCTGCTCTGTAATTTCCCAAATATGATTCAATCAGGCCTTATATTTCTCATGCCTCCTATTCTTTCCAGCTCAACTCCTGGACCAGAGACAAGCCCTACCTACCTACACTTTTAACTTTTACCCTTTCAGATGGGAGAATAATCACCTCTCATAACTTCACTCCTCCTAACCCCACACTCGTTTTTCAGAATTCTACCTCACCATGGTAATGATTCTACCTCACAATGGTCCTGATGAAACAGCGTATTTAAATCAAAGGCACCTTTCCTTCTATACCTCACCTGGGTCCTTAAATATGATAATGGCCTTCTTCCTCATAGCACCTTGTCTCTGTGTTTTTCCAGTCTAAGATGCAGGCATTCACCAATGATAAAGTTCTCCTGACTGAAACACCAGGTACCAGCTTCTACATGAGCATCAAACATCATACTGTCAACCTTCCTGAACCCCAATACAGCACCCCCTTTCAACAGTAAGTAGTAAGAGAGAGAGATTTGGCCCTTTTGCTAACAATAAAAAGACAGGAATGGAAGGTTCTTGCCCTCAAATAAATTACTGTATGGTTATGGCGGTGGTCTAACGTGGCCCAAGGCCAGAGCATGACCACCTACCACTTCCTGCTTCTTCCTCAGCCTTAATTGCAACTCCCTTTCCTGTTTGCACATGAAGAAAACTCCAATGAGCTCCTCGATCCTCATCAATGTCTGCCCTAAGTGCCACCTGGTCAGAGGTTATATATAGATCCCATACCCCACGTTCCAGCAGAGAAAGCCAGGCTGATGGGGGTCATGGAGTTGTCTCCATGTCCTTGGAGTAAAGGCTATTTTACTTTATATTCTCTCTATTTTACCATGCTTAAAACTCTTTTAATTCTGATCAAGTTTATCCCTATTCTGGGTTCAGCTACCTCATCCTGACACCTGTCCCCTCACACCTACTTCATTCAGTCTTCTTACTCAGTTCAGCTTCTTCCTACCTCATTTGCAGCCAGTACTCCCTCTCCTTTGTGCATTGTTCTCTTTGTCTGTTCAAAACTATTTTTGTTTCTCTTATCACTCACCAATAATTGACATTGCCCAATCATGTTCCTGCTGTCTTCTTCCATGGGATCCTTGCCAGCTAAGAAAAAGTGGAGCAGTCCAGCTTGCTCCCACACACAACCAGACCACTGATTCATCACTCTTTCTCTACTGCCCTTGTTACAGTTCATGTGATTCTTATTGGTTAAAAAGAGTTAAGATACAAATTGTTTTAGAATACAACTTATCAGGATGTAAATGTGCAGTAACTTTATTATAATCAAGAACAGCTTTTTTCAGTACGGTGGATTGAAGCTAGGAGTGCTCTATCACTGAGCTACATCTTCAGCATGGGCCTCACTAAATTGCCCAGGTTTAACTTCTGATTCTCTTTCCTCTGCTTGGCAAGTAGATAGAACTATTACTACCATACCTGATTAAGAGCAAAATTATTAACCATGAAGAAATATGAAAGCAACAAAAGACTTTATTTTGGAAGTAAGCACATTACTTGTAAAATAGATGGCATAAGCTCAAAATAATAAGGATTTAAACATGTGAAACTTATATATTAATCTGATTAAGTTATTCCTTCTAATTTTATTCAGTATAAAGTATCTATAGATTATATAATTAATTATATAAAATGAATATAGTAATAAGTAAAATACTCTCCTGAATTTTTCTGACATCTTGGTTTATATGCTTCAAAGAGAAGGCAAAGTCCCTTAAAAGTAATGTAAATTTCAGGATTACAAGTTGTAATTCATTCAAAATAGATTGTATTTCATTTTATTAATTTTGCAAGTAGCAAAAACATACTATGACATGATTTTTTATAAAATGCTACAAAATTGAAATTTTTTAATTAAATCTATAATACCAAAATGTCATCTACAATAAAATTTTAGCTAATGTACTAGAATCCATAGTAAAGAGAGGAAACTATGCAAAATCTTAAACATATTGTCAAAAATAATTGTAGGACTTGCACAATTTAAAGTGTGATTATTTAAAGTATGGATTGTAAGTTCTTCTGATTTTCATGGAGACAGATTTAATCTTGATGGGTGACTTATTTTTGGCCCATGTGCCCCACTGAATTCCACTGGCAAGCAATTTTCCAGGGAAGTGATGGATGCCATTTAGGTTTGCTAGGCCACACTGGTTGAACCACCAACCCGTATTGTTCCTGAGGTGACTGCAGCTCTTCACAGATTGACCATTGATGAGGCACACAGGACGGCACCCATCATTGTCAACATCTGATGTGCTGAAAGGCATTGCATTTTGATTATCTTCTTTCCTGAGGCCTCGGAATGCATCACCTGGGTTAAACAGATTTCTTAAATAACTGAACTTAGAGACAATTTCCATTATTTTAGTCAACTATTATTAGCATACTTATGCAAAAGCATTACATTTAGAAATATTTTTCTAGTTTCTCACATTAAAATCTCTCTCACACAGGTTGCAATATGCCAAAACCTGATGATGAATTATTCAATATAATAAACACCTACCGGATATAAAAAACAAGTATAAATTTGGCTGTGTAGACAAAATCAAATCTTTTATGCCAAAAATAATAGTGTACAAGTTTGCTACGCATTGATTGATCAATATAGTGACTGATAACTTGGGAAATAAAATAAAATAAAAGTATCTTATGACTTCCAGGCAGTCATAAGATAAGAGAGAAGCGCCTAATACTCCCCAAGAGATAATTTTTCTTTCTTTCTGAAGGTGCCCCAAACACCTCACAGCCAGCCACGGTCACATAAAGTGCCCCATGGCTGCTCCAAGGGGGATCTTCTTGGGCTGAAGCAAAGCTTCAGTCATGGATCTATCACAGTTGACTCTGCCCAGTAGCCCCATTGGATGACTCCATCCCACAGCCTCTCTGGATGATTCCTCCCTTCTATTTCCCTCTTCAATCAAGTCAGTGAAGGGCTCCAACCCTATCCATAACAAAACAGAAAGTCCAACTATGCCTAAGCCCCACCTTTCTTCCCTACATAAGCCACCTTCCCATGCTCTTACTGAGTCTGTCCGTGTATTGTCTTCCCTTGGAGCTACAGCATATGTACTTTGATTTATATGTTTGAAACACTAACTAAAACAGAAGCTATGTAAAATGTGTAATGAAACCAAGGCCTATGATTGTTTCATTTTGTTTCTGAATATTTGCCACCTCTTTAGATAAGTCCTTTGAGAATCCTCCAGAATTTCACTTGTAGTGTGGCCTAATCATATACCCCAGATGTTTGATTATTAAAGTCTCTGACTCTACACTTTAGGGGAAACAAAAGACATATAGTGTATTTATTTTTAGAGAAAATATAATTTTCTAACATCTGCTCAGTGCAACATCCTTCAAAAGTTCTAGTGAGACATCACCTATGAAGCACACATAAAGCTTATGTTGTTCTTGCTGGGTAAAATCCAACTATCAGAAGGATCATACATCATGTGGATCCTTAAATTTTTTACTTTAATTAGTACATGTTTGCAGTATGCAATGATGTATGTATCTTAATTCTTTCCTTCATTCCCTTCCCCCTCCATCTCTAAATCTCCTTCCCTTTTATAAAAGATACACCACTCTGTTTCCTATTATCTTTTATTTCCTCTTCAATTTATTTGTATTTTGAGTTTCTCAGATAAAAGAAACTATAAAATATTTAAGCTTATTTGTCTGATTTATTTCACTTAAACTTTTGGTATCAAGTTACACCTACTTTCCTAAAAATGACCTGAATTTATTCTTCTTTACATCACAGTGGTACTCCATTGTGTTTAATTCTCATATTTTTATCCATATGACATATATATATATACTGAAATTTAATTTGTCCCTGCTATTCCACTTCTAGGTATCTTCCTGAAAAATTTGAAGACATAATATTCCAGTGATACATGAATACTCATATTTTAATATTCATATTTAACACTCAATTCATAATAAGATGGTCTTTAACAAACCAGATCTTGCTACGGCCATTCATCTGTTGATAGACACATAGACTGATTCCAATATTTAGCTGTTATGAGTTGTGCTGCTGTACATGCTAGTATGTATCACTGTCTAACTCTTTCACAAGCATACCTATCAAGAAGAGGAATAGCTGGGTTGAAGGAATTTCTAGTTTTCATGTTACTGATTTCCATAGTGGTTGAACAAGTTTACCTTCCCACCAACAATGTAAGAGTTTCTTTTTTCCCCACAGCCTCATCAGCATTTGTCATATTTAATTTCTTGATGAGACCTATTCTAGAATAAAACAGGATCTCAATATTATTTTAATTTGCATTTCTTTAATGCCAAGAGATGTTAAATATTTTTTCATTTATTCATGAGCCATTTGTACTTTTTCTATTGAAAAATGCCTGTTCATTTCATGTGCCCTTTTTCACTGGGACTTTAGTGCGGGGGGGGGGGTCTAAATTTTTTATTTCTATTCATGTTCTAGAAATAATAACTCCACTGTCTAAGGATAGCTGGCAAAAGTTTTTTGGGATTCCATAGGTTGTCACTTTACTCTGTTGATTATTTCCTTTGTGGTATAAAAGTTTTTTAATCCGATATGATTATATTTGTTGATTCTTGATGCTATTTCTTTGACATCTGGTATTCTCTTCAGAAAGTCCTTGACTATGTCTTCCGGAGTTTTATCTACCGTATTTCTAACAGATTGTTTCTATTTTAATATTTAGATCTTTGATCAATTTTTATTTTAGTACATAAGATATATAGGATCTATATCCGATCTGCAGCATGCAGTTAGCCAGTTAACCCAGTGCCATCTGTTAAAGATGCATATTTCCTCCTGCATATGTGTTTGGCTCCTTTGTCAAAGAATGGACTGATGAATATGGCTGCGGTTGTACATCCTTTCTGTTCCATTGATCCACATGTGTTTTTGTACCAGTGCTATGGTGGTTTTATCACTGAAGCTTTGTAATATAACATTAAATCCAAGATTGTGATGCCTCCTGTTTTGCTTTTGTTACCTAGGATTGATTCTGCTATTCTGGGTCTTTTCGGGTTTCATATGAATGTTAGGATTATTTTTTTCTAGTTATGGGAGGAATGCTGTTGGTATTTTTTAATAGGGATTGTATTAAACCTCTGTATTAGTTTTGGAAGTATGGCCATTTTGACAACATTGGTTTGGCCTGTTCAGCAATAGGGGTATCTTTCCATTCTGATGTTCTCTTTGAGCTTCTTTTTCAGAGTACAGTAGTTTTCATTATAGAGGTCTTTCACTGCCCTGGTTAGGTTAATTTCTAAGTATTTCATTTTTTTGAGGCTATTCAAAATGATATTGTTTTCCTAATTCCTTTATCAGAGAGTTCATTATTGATGTATGAAAATGCTGTTGACTTTGTGTGTTGATTTTATATCCTGCTATAATACTGACTTTTGTTGTTAATTCTAGGACCTTTTTGGTGGAATTTTTTGGGTCTTCTAAGTAAAAGATCATGTCATCTGCAAATAATAATTTGAGTTCTTCCTTTCCCATATATATATATATATATATATATATATATATATATATATACCTTCTGTTTCTTTCTCTTACTTAATTGCTCTGACTAATGTTTTTTAAGTGCTACAGTACTAATCAAATAGGAATGGCCAAGTGTGGTAGGGCACACCTATAATCCAGCACCTGGGAAGCTGAGCCAGGTGGATCACCACAAGGTCAAGGCCAGCCTGAACTACATAGCAAGTTTGTATTTTAAAAACAAAAACAAACAAATGAATACAACTGTAGTAGGAGACATGCTTGTCTTGTTCCTGATTTTAAAGGGAAAGCTTTCAGCTCTTTGCCTCCAGGTTTTTATCATGAATAGATGAACAACTCATTTTTAAAATGAATGCCTAAGTCTATTTCTTAAAAAAACCGTCCATTAAAATTCTTTCATTGTATTTACCATGAAAGTAGAGTTAGTGAACAGGACACTATATTCTCTGACAACCCAGAGTAATTCTCAAGTTTTACCATCAAGAATATTTGTACTTTTTATGGAACAACTGTGCTGCTCGAATAGTTAAGTTTCTGCTTCTATTTTTGTTTCTGAGCCCAAAACCAAATTTGTAGCCCACCTCTACTTACACAGCTGATCTTTTCTCTGTTTCTGTCCCTATGTTATACAGATACATTTTTCTTTTACTGTTTTGATATTCTATGATCAACAGATGCAAGTTATTTAACAATCTTTTTGGGAAGTACACTAACAGAATTGTCACAATGTCAGAATTTGAAAGTTTCATATTTGTTTTTAAAAGAACCTCCACAGAAACTTAATCAGAGAACATATTCCATATTTAGATAGATTTTTACACTTTTAGATATGAAACATTGAAACTCTATGTTGTAACTCTTTAAAAGTTTTCATATATTTCAAGATTTGCAATTTAGACATACACTTCATATTGTAAGACTGAATCCCCTTGGATGTCACAGATTCCAGTCATACCAGACAATTCTCTGTGCCCTGTAATTTTCCTCCCTCTATTCCATTACTCAAACTGCTACATTTGCCAACGTTCTCTTGCCAAAAGCAAATTTTTATCCAAAACCAGGTCCATGATTCTCAACTGAAAGTATGTCACCATATCCGTTCTTCCCATCAGATTTTGCAGGAGTAAGTACTTTCAAAATGTGTCTCAGCTTACACATGAGCTCCTTTTTGAAACCACCCTTTCATGAAATTTGCTGGATGCAATCAACTGGAATCATTCTCAATGTCTTTTTAACCTTTAAATTTTATTACTATTCTTTGTTTCCAGGTTATCTTCCACTACATTGTGATCAGTCAAACAGCTGGAAACCTATAACATTCATTTTTGGCTTATAACACTGAATATAATAATGAATAAGTATAACAAGTTGTAACAACAAAATTGACCATAGTATTTGTTAACTCAAATGCCTTTAAAATTTCTAAGAAACTAAATTTGTTTGAAAATGAGTTAATGCAACATAGAATGAAAAGAAGTTCATTTTTCTATAAACTTTAATTATTCCCTGGTTCAGATGTAATGAATAAAAATATTGGTCAAATCACTTCATCTTTCACATTTCCTCACTGGTAAAAAGGAAAGAATATCAGCTCTAACAGTCTATGATATCTAAATGTCAGCTTCTTTGAATAAGGAATGGGAATAATACCTTCCCAGTCTACCTTAATTGGGCCTCCATTTAAAGATCAACAGCAATTACATATGAAAAATGTTTTAAAGAAAATGAAGTACAATATTTAAAACTCATTATGCAATACAATATTCATAGCAGAATATCAAGGTCTTTCATTACTAACCTACTCTATTATCAGTAATGAGTCATACATGGAATGAAATACATTCTTTTAATTTTCACCTAATACTGAGTCAGGGCTACATCAATCTTCTGGATAATTCAAAGAATAATAAACTTACCAGCATTTCCTGAATACCGCCCCAAGTGCAGTTTAAAAAATTTTGTTTCATCCTCTAGCCGAAAAGTATCATATGAAGCATAAGCAAATGTGTTATCTTCTGATTCCAAAGCCACATACAGCATAAAACTGGTGTTTTTCTGATTTACTATATAAAAAATCTTTTTTAGTCCTAGCCAAAATTCTCCTGTAAAAAAAATTGCTTTGTTTTAGTATATTGTAAAACACAGTACAATAATCCTTTTTAAAAAAATTTTGGTACTGTTTAGTGTTTCAATAACTATGAGGTAACTCACATGAATAAAGGGACTGGTTGGTCTTTTCAAATTATCAGTGTTTATTTAATTTTTTTTAAAAAGCTTGCTATGTCTACTTCACCAAACTGAAGAAAACCATACTGTTTCATTTTATGTCCCCAAATTAAATTCAAAAGTTTATTTAAAAACTAAATAAGAAGTCAAGTTTTACCTTAAGGCATGTCAACAAAAATTTGTTGATATATTATAGCAGGTAACAAAATCATGTACACCAATAAATGTAGGAGATTTACCTTCTAAATCAGCCACTCCTAAAAGAAACGTATCCTGAAAATGCTCATTACAACTACATATGTCTTTGGAAATACTTCCTGAACAAATATTTCTATCTTAGCCTATCCCAAGTTTAGAGTCAGTATTTCCAAGATGATTTTAAATCCAGGATAAGTAAAAGAACTTCCAGATTCATGTGGCATACTTTTCGTAAGCATATCCTACCCAATGGCATTCAACTTCCCCCAATCCATGGCATAGGCTAAATGGGTCTACCTCTGGGATACATCCTTCTACTTGAATCATGAAATTACCAAAACGACCTAAGAATCTAGTCAAAACAAACTTCAAAAAGTTAGAGGATAATGTGATTGTATTCAAACTCTTAATACTATAACTAAGCTATCAAGTCCTCTTTCCAGGGCTTAACAGAGGCATTTTAGCTACCACCCAGTTAGAATAGAAAAAGTATCCAGAATAAACACAGAATGAAAATGGGCAGAGGAAGATGGGTCCACTGGGGGTCTGTTTAGTCTCAAGCAGTCTATAACTCTTCCACTTAAGTCCCTGTCATCTTTCCCCTTTATCCCAACCCCATACTTAAGACTTAACAGTACATTTTTCTTAATCCTCAAATTACTTTTTTAAATGTTCAAGGCAGTCTCAGCTTGCATCAGGAATATATACCTAGAGACTTTATTAATCAAAACTCATACCATGGCCCCATAGAAAAACAGCACAAATTAAAAAATGACAATTCAAAGCTATGTAAATCCGTGACTACTTAAAGGAAAGAGAAATGTACAATGGAAAATCAGAGATAATGTTGAGAAAGAGAAATATTTAACTGTACACTATAGCATGACAGTTATGTGGCTATAAGTCAAACCCCTTCTAAAACTATTGGCATGAAGTAAAGTTTTTGTCCTCAGTATTAACATTTCCACTTACTGAATGAATCCTTGAATGACATTATTATGGGATGTTAAATATTTTAAATTACAATAATAGCAACTTTAAAATAGCACAAAAATTATCAAAATAATTTGTAGAAATTCCAACTAATGTAAAAGTTTGCAAGGCTCAGAAATATCAATGCTGGTGCACACCTGTAATCTCAACAATCAGGAGGCTAAGGCAGGAGGATCATCGTGAGTTTGGGGTGAACCTGGGCTACATAAATGAGTTCAACACCAGCCTGAACTGCATAGTGAGATCCTGTCTCAAATTCCTCTCCAAAAAAAAGAAGTATCAATGTTGTTTACTATAAAAAGTGATTCTGAGATTTATAATTTTCAAATTTGAACATAGTGATGTTTATTAATATTTTATAAGGCATTATGCTCATTTGAATTTGAATAATCACATACTTCAGTTCTCTGCTTCATTTGCTTGAGTAGACATAGCACAGATTTTAAGAATATTAAGAGCTCTCGAAACCATGCCTGTTCACTTTTTCATTCTACAAATAGTTGGTAAGCACCTGCCAAAACTCCGCTAAGGATGTAGTAAGATACTTAATGGGTATTCAATTTGGAATTTTCTCTCAAATCACATTTCAACAGATATTTTTAAAAAAATTTTACATTGCTACAGAAGACATATGAAGACAGCATAATCTGTTATATTTTGATAGTCATATGAACTTGCTATATTTTACAAAAGATATGATCAATATAGAAAATCTATACACAAAATATCAAAGTTAAAGGGAAAAAGTAGAGAAGAAATACATAAAATTTGACCTAAAAGGTCACCAAATCCATCCAGATAATCACACCACAACCTCTGGAAATCAATTATCCCGTCCATTCTTTTCTGTATCACAGTCCATCCACCTCCTCTGTGATCCATGTCACACATAACCTAAACATGACCAGAAAATATCACCGTTAGTTTCATTGTTTGATATTATAAAATAAATTCTTCATCTATAAGTCTAGAGAAAGATAAAATACTTTTCACTTAAAATTTTATTGCATTTGTATTCCATTAATGTAGTCAGATTTTTTAACTCTAGAAATGATGCTATTATAAAACAAATCTGTAATAAAACTAACTGAAGACCTTGTACCATTCACTTTTTAAGCTATTTTTTAACTATAATTTTTTAAGCTTACCTTCTTATTCCTCAACTCTATAAATAATTTTCGGTTTAGTAATAACAATACTGATCTGGTAGGCCAGAGTGATGTGCAATATTACTTTACAACTTAACTTTCTCTTTCTATTAGAATGCTGAGTTTTTAAAGTGTTAAATATGCCTGGATGTCTGGCTTGGTCACTCCCTTTTCCTATAAGCCAGTTTGTGTTCAGACCAGCATTTTCAGACAGAAAAGCACCAACTGCTGCCACTCAGCAGGTGCTCATAGGCGCACCTACCTGGACAGCCACAGGAGATCTACAAAAGTGACAGGGACAAAAGCAGAGCAACGCTCTTCAACAGAAACTTCCCACACAGAGATGGAGAAAAGAATGAGAAAGAAGTTAGGGAACCAACATTTTCCCTCAGAAGAAGGAATTATGCATCCCACTCTTTCCAAAATTAGAAGCCTTCCTTGCTACAGCTCTTCAGATCCAGTTCTGGATATGCAGGCAAAGTAATTTAAGTAATTTTAAAATTATTTCCCACCTAATTGCCAATTTTTGACATCTTGTCAATAAATTACAAAAAATAATGATAGTAACTCTAAGGAGTTACTGGTAGCATGTACTTTAAAAATGTAATGCTTATCAGTAATACCAATAAGGAATCACACGACACGAACTTTATTATATACAAAGAAAAATTATACTCAGAAGAAGTACATACATGTATACACACATATATCCCATCAATATGTATTATCTCTAATAGAAGTTTCCATTAGAAATCTCAGCATAGAACTACTAAGGACAGATATAAGAATATCTCATTTTATCCAAATTGAGGATGGATTGCTTATCAATCTACTTTGCACGCCAGTAAAAGGTTTTTGTAAATTATTAATTCCTTTTCCAATGACATAAAATCATTTGTCATCAAAAGGAAGTTTAATCATAAGAAGGAAGGGTAATCAAAAGTATTTTAGCAGGATCCAAAGGAAAGCACACTATTTTTTCCAATCTCCATAGGCTAATTAAAGCAAAGATTTATGTTGGATGATTCTGCCTACTGTAAGGATTATATAAGATCATGTACCAAAAAATTTACTTTGAAGAATGTAACCATGGAAACTCAAGTAGAAAAGTGACAGACAGGCTGTTTTTTTTCTGTTTCATCGTTTGGACCTTAGAATTACAGAAAGCCAAAATTTTAAAACTGTAACTTTTACCAACTTATTTTACCTATGTCAAGGAGAACATTCTGAACAATTAATAAGCTAATACTATTATTGAATTTTATCTTGTTCTATATGTTAAAGAAAAACTTTACCTCAAATGGGTAACTAGAGCCTTCTGGATAAATTATATATAAACCACTTGGTGTCTTGGTGACTGAACCAATGGTATCTTTAATATCAGTGCAGTCTAAACCTAGAAAAGTAAAATTGGTTATTTAGAATACTTTCAGTTTTACATTTCAGAGAATCACTTACTGTAGATCATTGGTTGTGTTTTTGAAATTATTGCTATAATCTCTATTAATGCTATGGTGGTCTTAACTTCTAGAAATGTATATGGTCACAATTTTAGAAACTATAAAGAATGGATGTTAAAAAATTTAGGCTACAATAAACATTCACTCACAACATCCCAGTTAATGATTAATGTTCTACACTGTGTGAGTATTTTATTTGGGATCAACACTGATTTAATATACTATGCATTCTCTTTCTCAGTAACTAATGCTCTTTCAGGAACCCAGGTTCATCTTAGAGGGCATAAGGGAAATCTCTATGAATGGAGAAGAAAAAATTCAAAAGTAAGTAAATTAACACCTATCAACACACCTCTGACTATTGTATTTCAAACTTCAGAGACGGACGTGTTGTAGACCACTGTTACCAACAGGCAAAAGGGGAAATTGGTGAAACCACTGTCTTCACCAAGTTCAGCTTGAGGTTAACACTCAGTTTAGAAAAGTTAGAGCTGTAGTATGGTAATCACCCTCCTCTGTAAAGCACTCAGTTCCATGGGGAATTGTAAACATATGTATATGGATTGGAATACATTTTACTATGAATATTACCTTTTATTGAAGATACTCTCATGTATCTTATATAAATGTAAAAAAATCAGCTCTTAACAGCATCAGTTGCTCAGTTGCCTGATTTAAAGTACTAATTCTACTCTTTGCTAGCCAAGAAGCATTAACTAACCAGTCTTATTTTTTCATTACATCAGAATAATAACACTATTTTATAGTGTTAATCTGACATTTTACATACCTAGATATTATATAAAGCCCTTAGCACAGGGCCTATCATACATTAATATGCAGAAAATGTCTATAAAAAGTTAACTATAAAAAGGTGTTTCTTTTCCTTTTATTTCCAGGAAAGGTAGATTCATTGCCTACATTCTGAATTCTTAAAATAACTTTACACTCAAAAGTATGATAGTAGTTCATGCTGAAGAAATTATATAGGCTGAAGAATCTGCTTTGTCATTACCATCCAAATAAATATAAGCAGATTATTTAGATTTTTCTTGACTGGATCATCAGATGATGAGCAGATAAGGAATATTTATATTGCCCTTAGTAGGCATCAGGCAATAGTTTGAACTTCGTTATGTATTTACTGATTTTCATTCACATTGACTACATGATATAGATACTGTGAGTTTACTGATGAGGAAACATATCAAGGAAACATATCAGAGATTTGAGACCAGACAGTTAAGAGTTCATCTTGTGAACTACCATGTTAAACTACTTACTGAGAGACAATTGCAGGAAATAAATGTTACAATAAAATAATTTTAAAGTAACAAGTGAAAGTGTCTATCTTCATACCTTGAATACAGAAGATTCTCAGGCATTGTCTATTATTTTCCCTATCTAAGAAAAAAATAAGGATCGCATACTAGGCCCTCAATGAAACTTACTTGCTAAAAGCTTTGAGTTTTGAATTCGTTCTGCAGATTTACAGAATATCTTTCTTTCCAAGCCTATAGGAATTAATTTGCTGCATTTCAGTACCAAAACAAGTATTAACTTCCTATTTATTTCTATCTTAAATGTCTTTTTCTTTTCAAATGTTATATCCTAGTTGAAACTTTTCAAATATATCAAAAATAATTTTACAGGTGGGTGGAATTCTGAAGCTTACTTTTCTTCTGTCTGAAAAGTAATTATGAATAAAATGCCAAAAGGAGAAGCCCAAAGTAACACTGCCTATAAAACTATGCTATTTTCAACCGACTCGAGATGTCTTTGTACAGGCATTATTTTCAAATGGTTCAAAAAGTTTTCTGGTTTAGGAAAGTACACATTGTCTGTGGTATAATTTACTTAATGGCAGGTATTAGCCTTCCAGTCAGTTAGAGAACAGTGAACTGCATTTTTTAAACAAACCTTAAATGTACTAAGCTGTCCAGGAAAATTTTAAGCAATAAAATACAAAGGAAAAAACTGAAATCTCAGCAGTCTCACCATGTGACTGAACTGTTCTGTAAGGAAAAGGATCCAACTGTTTCCTGAAGACTTCTGTAGTCAAAAGGAGAATTCGATTCATGAGCTCATTAACCTAAACACACATGTGCATACATATTTAAGTACATTTATGTTTGAACAAACCTCCCCTAACTAAATTATATAAACACTACCTCTAAGCCCCTTATAAACACAGCTCTGAAGTGATGTCCTTTTCTCTGGGTTGAATCCTTACTACTTTAACAACACATTAAAGGCAAAACTAAATAACAATTATTATATTCAGCAGTGTCTACCTTCCCAATACTGATTTCGTCTGCCCATCTCTGCATGTGACTGCTCTTGCCAATTTGTCCTTCCTGCCCTGCCTCAACCATTCCTCTTGTTTCTGGTCCCCTCCCTTTGATCTTCTTGGAGTCGTCATTCTCCACTCGAGCTGTCAGTTGGTTCATATTATTTCCTTGCTCAAACACTTGACTATTTAGCGTGCCACAATTTAATCCCTGGTTCTTTAGTTCTTCAGTTTCCCTTGTTCACTGTGAACCTCACCAGCTGATCCAACCCCACATAAAGAATTCCCTCAAAATAGAATACCCTCTTCCTTAGCGTCTTTGGGACTTCTAATGTGTTTATTGATCTCTCATGACTCAGGTTGTCAGCACTCTCCTTTGGGAAGCTTTCTTGTATCTTCACTTTCTCTTTTGTGTCATTCTAACAGCACCCATTTTTACATTTTCTGTTCCACTAAATTGGTTATCTCTGGAATGGCCACTGTTTTTATCACTTTTTGTTTGCTGGAGGCTTACTGTAGTACCTCTTATATATTATAGTACCTTTTACAGAGTAGGCACTAAATAGATGTCTGTACATGAATGTATTAAAAAATGAAATAATGATCCCTTCAGGTACATGCAATAACAACACAGTGCTAAAAAGTTCATACCTGATTAGATAAATAATCTAGGGATGCTTGTTGTTCATCCATCATATTTCTTAGTAGTTTTTTGGTACTTCGTGTGTAGGTAACAATAGAATTTTGTAGATTTCCTTAACCATAATAAAAACAGCTGTTGAATATTACATTACTATAGAAAACAATTACAGTGATTTTGGATAAGTATGTAAACAAAATATATCAATTCATCTGAATATTCAGAACTGTACATTTTAGTTAGTATACATTATTTAACTCAAGATCAATTTAAAAAACAAAATTCTTAATAAAACAATACTTTCTAATAACACTGATTACCCAAAATAATTGATCTTCTCTAATCAAGAGACAACATTCTGAATATTGATGCTCACTTCACGAGATGAGATATACAGAGACCAAATATATGAGATTCATTATAAATTACTATTTAAGAAATTAAAAGACAATTAATTAACTTACATACCAGTTAGGTTCATTTTAACATAAACATGTTTTTTTAATTTTTTTCTAATACTATATTTTATGTAATCAATCTAACACATATACACAAACATAATAGACCTTAGTCAAAAATTTTAGTTCACTGGCTTATGATTGAACTTTAGTATATATTTTCCTTTTAAAAATATGTTTATTTTATAGAAAATTCTCAATATTTCTTATAGAAAAGTTGTGAGAACTCTACAAATGACTTTTTCCTTACAGCATTTGAAACTGTTGCCATAACGTCCCACTATTCCTCATTTTTTTACACTAAATACATTCTTAACACAATCATCAAAATCAAAACATAAATGTTGACTACTTGTATTGTCAGACTCTACTCAAGCTTTACTTATGATACCAATGATGTCTTTGTAACAAAATGATTCACGCATCATTGCTTACTTTATCCTTGAAAATTATTTTATTTCACCTAACAGTAGGATTAATTAATAATATCTGATATTTTCAGTCCTACCTCAGATTCATCTCTTTTGTTTTCTTTCACTTCCCATCAACTTTTTGCTGGATTAAGACATCTGTCTCACTGGTACTTAAACTGCATTCACTGGTTTGAGAAATTGGAGCCACTTGGTTATACGCACTGGTTGCTACATTAAAGTAAGCTTTTCACACTTCTGACTGACCTGGAAGTGCTGATCCTGTGTGGCTTGGTTCAGATCATCAGCTCCACCATTTCTGACCTCCCTTCTTCCTCCTGCCCCCGTGTGTGTATAACAGAGCTATACACAGCAGATCATGAATGGTACTGCTGCACTTTGACTAAACAGATTTTGAATTGACACTAAAACTTTTTATATTACACTTCACTACATAAATTGGCGATGAATTTGTATTATACCAACGTATTAGTAACTATAGTATTAAATGCCAATGTATAGTTTCATATTTCCTCTTTCACCCCCACCTACATACCACCGCCCAAAAAAAAAACCAAGGTAAGATTTCCTAGAGGTCAGAAAAAAAGAGAAAAGAGCCCAATGTAACTTAATATAATGTACTATCAGGGCCCTCTGGTTTGCCTCTTCCCTCCGGTCAGTTGATACCACGGGGCTATTTGGAAGATGGGTTCATTCATTTATCAAATATTTACTAAGACCTACTGTGTGTCAAACATATAACACCTTTGACCTGTGGTGATAAGGAAGTAAAGTTAAGATGTGATTTTTTTTACGTGTATCTTAAAAACAAGAAGTTGTATCCCTTGATAATTGCACTTATTTTTAATACTTACTACACATTGAATGTCTTTCTTCTCGTGTAACTTTAATTTTAACATCACATGGTTCTTCACAGTCTTCCTTATAAACAGTATCATTACTTTGACTTTCATCTTTTGCACTAGATACATCACCTACAATATTAACTGCTGGAGAATCCTTTACATTAAAAAAATGAAAGAAAAACATCTGAAATATGTTGTCTGATCTATTACATAATAGATAAGAAGACTATAAGAAAAAGATTGGAATTCAGGATATATGATGAGGGTAATCATTAGAAAAACATTTAATTATTAAATGGTTCATTCAAACTTCCACAAGTAAGCCTTCGGGGTAAATTTTAGACAGAAATAATAAATGTATATTAATTCAATACTTTCATCATCTTTTTTTCTTCTCAAATTCCAAAATATATTTAGGGTTTATTTTCATTACTGTGACTCTATAGCCTAAACTCTAACTTCTGAAAATCTATATGTATAATACAGGGCTGAGTCTTTCCTCTTCTAAGAATTTTGCAATTTGAATTTCCTTGAGAAGAGACTAAGAAATGTTCCTAAGATATCTACAAAATTTCAAGCCAAATAGATTTTCTGTAACTGACTATTGTTAAACTGTAGGGGAAGAAGTGTGCAACAAGCCCATGGCTTTTGTATAAGACAACACCTTTGAAGGTTTGAAATGTTAAGCATTCATTAATTTGAAAGAGTCAATAAAAAAACCAATGTGAAAGAATCAATAATAAATGAAAAATATAGAATTTTGCTTTGCAAAAACAACAAATATTAAAAAGCCAATTCTATCATTCCAAATGTATCTATAATTATTAGTATGCTATTGGTTACTTCAATATTAAAATATTCTTTGATAGACATTATATAGATTTAATAACTATTTTTAGTAAAATAATAACAAGTTTCATCCTGCTTTATCAGAATATTGAGAGAAAATTATAGAGTCAACTATGTTATGAAGATATAGGTCCCCCAAATTGATGTTTACATTTTATTATGAAGCTCTATTTTAAACTGCTTGTACTTTCTATATTGCGATAACATACTAGATGTTTTCAAAATTCTAGCTTTTACATATCCTTTTTTCTAGATGATTCTTAAATTTTAGCACCTATTTTAGAAACTTAAATCATTAATATTTCTGAACTTTTTTAGTATTTCGGAACTTATAATTTATGCTTATTTCAATCATGGAATGTTGGAATTTGGTTTTGATACAATGGTAAAAACATTTCATGACACTTAAAATTATAAGCCAACATTAAAATATATAAAGCTTCAAATTCCAAGCTACTCATAGCACTGTATACACCAGAATAGCTACAGTGTTTTGATTTTCTTAGATAACCAACCACTCACAAGATTATACTCAAAATATAAAACTTCATAGAAAAGCTTTCCTTAACAAAAGAAAAATGATTTTTTTCAAGTTAACCAGAAAGTTGTGAACTAGTTTTTAACCTAAACCTGAAATTTCTTTAAAAAGTTTTACGAGAATTTTTTAAATCAAACTTGTTTATAGCATACATTTATAAACAGTAACATTTAGTCAGTCTCAACATTTCAAATTAAATATTTTAATTATTGCAAACATTATACTTGATAGTCATTAATATTTTCAAACTTCTAAATATGTATCTTGAAAACCAATAAAACTTTACTAGCAAAAATAAATTACTAAAATTCTTACCGTAGAATGATGAACACAGTTACCTAGTACAGCTTCTCCACAAATAAAAATACATACATTTAAAAACAAGAGGGATACTTGGGATGGATTCATCATATTTTTCTCCAATAAATGAGAACACTTCTTCAAATATCAGTCTGCTGTCTGTAGAGAAAACTCCAGGGCACCGAGTCTTCAGTTAAAATTTTCTGGAAGGTTTACAATAAAAACAGAAGCCAATACTTAATAGTTTCCATTCCCTCCTTTGAAACAACACCCTTCATATGAAAAACAAGGTAGCTTCTAGAAAGCCTGGCATTTCAAGTCCTACAAATTCTTCTTATAACTTCATACTTTTGCTAGACAGGCAATAGATAGATACAGCATAACCATAAATTCATCTTTTATGGGTCATTCCTTTGGAAAGATATACCTTAGTAATTATGAAATGGTTTGCACAAAAATAGTAAAAAAAGAAAAATAATAAATGGAGTGGGAAGAATATTACACTGGAACTATTTTCAAGTGTTAAACAGAAATTTGTTTAATATAATATCCAGAACAGATAACTCAGACTTAAAATGTACCTTTACATGAATCTAGCTATAATTATTGATCATACTAACCACAGATGTGTCAAATATCTAGAACTTTGTATGTTTCACAATTGTCTTATTAAAAATTCTGAACATAATGAAAATATTATTGAAAACGACCATACTCTGAAAGTAGATAAATCAGTACCTGTGACAAACTTTCAAATTTTCCTTTACAAAGGCTCCTCTTCAATCTAGAAACATGACTAAGACTCTATTATTGTCAATTTTAAAGGCAAAATAAAACTTTGTCTTGCTTCCGATTCAAAGCATTGTTTTCTCCATCTCCTTTCCTATCTTGATAATTACAAGGCTAAGATCATTGTTTTTATGATTCGATTGACAAACAATAGGCACAAACATGGCACAACATTTTTAATAAAAAATATCTTAAACCAGTAATCTCTTTTCTGACTTGAAGTTCTCTCTTCTACTTAAAAACAAATGTTCTTATAATTTATTTACTAAAACTACTTTCTCAGAGTTTCTCCAGTGAGGCAGTATGAGGTAGTTAGGAGTACAAACTTGCTTGCATCTTTAACTCACCACTCTTTTATAGTCTGAGACCTTGAGGAAAATTTACCTGATATGGCTTGTGTCTAGATGTTCCCCCAAAGCCTCATGTGATCATAGATAGAGCTCTTCAGAGGTGGCTAGATCGACAGTGAGACTAAGTGTGTAATGCTGGGATCATAGATGTGTGATTACTAAATTAGTCCACTGATGGGTTTAGCATAGTTGTGGGTGTGGATAATGGAAAGGTTCGTCCTGGGCATGAGTGCTGCCCACCCTAAGGGAATATAGCTGGATAGACTATAAGGGGCAGAAAAAGGGTGCAGTCATCACTTGCTGCTTCTTCCCTGCTTCGCTGCTTTGTGCTTCCTGCCTGCCATGGACTGTTTCTCTTCTGTGATTCCCCTCTGCCATGCCACTTACTCTGCCTTGGAACTGGCCAAGTATGAATATGAACTGAAACCTCTACAAACAGGGCTACAATAAACCTTTCCTCCTTTAACTTTGAGTGTAGTGTATTTTGTCTCAGCAATGAGAAAAGTAATTAAGACAATGCCTAATATTGGTGCAGTTCTGTTGTGTGAATTAAATGATTTAATATATGTAATCACAAACAAACGTTAGGTGATATCATCACTATTGTTATGTTTTGCTTGACTTATATGAAGTTCTAACACTGATAATATTGATGACCTTTATAATCTATATTATAAATCAAAGAATATCTTTAATTTTAAATTTGTTTAGTTGAAGTCTTATGAAATTGAAATGAAGATGACAACACCTCAGCAATTTAAATGAGCCACACATTAAAATTCTTTGTTCTTTCACACTTGCCCAGAGATAAATTCAGGAAATTCTTATTTGAGGGGAAAAAATACTTTTGCAGAACATAGAAAAAAATAGCATCAGCCAAGATGAAAGTGAAAATGCAAAAAATTAGTCATCACAGGCTGCAACACAAATTGTACAACTGTAACAATTGTTAATAATTTCAATAAGAAAGAGTCCATTAGTGAAGCAGTGTAATATTCTGAAAAAGAAAGAAAGGGAAGGAAGAGGGAAAGATATAAAGAGAAAATGGGAGAAAAAAGAAAGAAAAAGAGAAAGCTACCTCCCAAGAGTGTATTTTTGTAACAAATAGATTTGGGGCCATTCGTAAAAGTCAATCACAGAAAGCCAACTGATTATATCATCTCCAAATTAAGCAAATACCTCGCTGTAGCAAATCAGGCAATTTATCTGCTTTGCTTTTGTATTGAGTCTGTAAATCTTGCAGATGCTACTGGGTAGAGCTCATGATGCTGGATATTTTTGGTTCTTAATGCTGCCTAATTTAATGACAAATTGTTCTTTGCTCAAATAAACTCCGCATTACTTGTCTAAAGTTTTTTATTAGTACAATATTGAAATTAAGTATGTGAACATATGTAATGGTTGATGTGACTGTGTCAACTTGAGACATTTAGAAGCTTAACTAAATGGGTTTGGCCACTCTACACCCCAGGGTGTAGAAGACACAGCCTAGAGTGATTTATCAGCTGTAGGTATAGAAGGGAAGGAGGAAGGACGAATGCATTGCATTCTTTGGAGAAGCTCTCGTCTTTCCCTTTGGTTTGGATGTCACCTCCTGGCTTCCAGTGTAGACTTCAGCTTTCTGGCACAGACTCTTCAGCCTTTCATTGTAAGCCTTCGGCCTTCTGTCGCAGACCCATCAGCCGGCTGGTGCTGACTTGCACTGGACACTGTGGTGAATTCCAGACCTTGGACCAAATCTCCAGTATGCAGACAGCCTCTGCACACTTCCTCATCCAACTCTGTGGCTGGTCACCGTAAGCCAATCTTGTTATTTCTTATACATTTCGTAAACATTTGTATATCTCATGTTATATCTGTTTTCTCTAGTAAAACCCTAATACAAAATACTTTGTAACTGTAAAGTGGTTATTAGCGTGTTTTGTAAATAAAATATCATTAGCAATTAATGAGGCCAGTTAATGAACTTGAGTTGTCTAATAGCAATCTCAAATTTAATATATTTGAAGCCTAACTTATTTTCTTTCTCCCAGCCCTCTATTCATTCTTCTCCATTTAAATGGAAACATCTAAACTCAAAATCCCCCAATGATATTTCCTCCATCAGAAGTTGGATTATACATTAAGTCTCTACGTATCTTATAAGTCCCCACTGAATCTGGGCCATATCCTTCCCCAGTCTCAGATATTAGCATGTTTTTCCTACTGTCTTCTACTGAATTAGAGGTCCTGATGTACTAAACCAAGGTGATTCTGTCCTCAAAGCCTTTTTGTACTTACAGCTCTTATCCCTGTAATTTTCTTCATGCAGATATTTAAATGCCAACCTTTTTTCTTTCACTCAGATTTCTGACCTAATTTCTCTTGCTTAGGGCCCTTTCCTGAGCACACAATCTAAAATAGAACTGACATCAGTCCCTATTCCCCATGCCACCTCATTTTTGCTTTGTGACACTTTGCACTACCTAGTATATTCTATTGGAAAAGAGAAATAAATGTAAGTTTCATGACCGTAAGACTTTGAAGTTTTTTATTCATTACTATATCCCATACCCAGAAAGTTCTTGCCATGTAAGTGTTATAAAGTATGGAAGAAATAAGCATTATAGACTTGGGGATGTGGTTTAGTAGTAGAGCACTCGTCTACCATGCTACAGGCCCTACGTTTAATCCCCAATACAACAGTGACAAAATTAAATTTTATATTTAATTCAGATTTTAATTCTAAAAAATACTTTGCTTGTTCTTTATTGCTTTAATATTTGCCTTTCAATCATAAAATTTATAAAATCCTCAAATTCTCTATTATCAAAGTATCTAACCAGGAAGCCTTAGTTTTGTAAAATGTATGATTATACAAGTTAAATAGAATGTAGGCAAACCCACTTAATATTTTGAAGACAAATACCTAAAAAAATTTTAAAATTTGGCAATCTGAAGTACAAGATTTACTTTCTTCTTCATTATTATCATAAAGCAAAACCTAATCGAAGCATTTGTGAGAAAAAAAATGCCTCTTAATGGTAAAAAAAATAACATGCAACAGAGCAATTAATGTGGCTGTCACACGTCGCCAAATAAGAGAAAAAGCTAGACTTTCAGGAAAACTAAAATGCCTATATACTTCAAATAACCATCACCTTCTCACTTTTATTTGTACTCTACACTGCCCCATTTTGCTTACTGTCAAATCATGCCTGGAGAAAAATGTAATGATAGCGGTGGGAATCAAACAAAGCCAGTTCCTGTGGCTAGGTCAATTAAAAACTTGCCAGACAATTAATCGTCCAAGTATACACATTTCACCTTTGTTAGGATTATATATTTTATCCTCTGACATAGTTCTGAATGGGACTTAAGCACTTTGTGCAAAACTAGATTTGTTGTACCACCTAAAAATCTTAGTCCCCAGAATACAGTCCAGTTTGAATCATTACACCCAACTTTGCAAAAACTGTTTTAAATCATTTCAGGAAAAGTTTATTAAAGTCTAAAAATGAAGAAATTGATTCACAAAGCCAGAGATATTCAAATGATGAGAGATCTTTATTTGGTCTGCACAATTTTGTTTCCAATTTGGGGGTTTTTTCAAAATTAAAAAAATAAATAAAACTGGCTAGATTACAGTCAAAATGTATATGTAATTTTAGACTGAGCTCCAACAGGAGTCTCAACCTTTTTCTAAATTTTCACTTGCAAAGACATTAAACCAGTGGTTTAAGTGCCAGGGATATAGATCAGAGGCACAGTGCCTGCCTGGCAGCAAGTGCAAAGTCCTGAGTTTGATTCCCAGTACCAAAAAGGGCGAATAACCAAAAAAAGAAAGAAAGAAAGAAAGAAAGAAAGAAAGAAAGCCCTAGTAGCTCATAGTTCCATTTAACTTCCTGAACCTCTTGAAACAATTTCAGTAGATGATCTTTTCTGGCTTATCTTCCCAGGAGATTACTAGTATGAATCTGGCCTACTTATCAGGCCACTTTGCTGTGACAGTCATTTCCAGAATCTGGCACCAAGGCAAGGAGCATGTGGAGCATTTGAAACTTAGCCTTTGTAAGTAGAGCAATGGAGAGAGAATGGCAAAAACATTTTGGAATGGGTGACAGCACGCAGAGAAAGAAAATTTCCGCTACACAATGTTTTTTTTTTAAGAGGCAGCATGTGGGAATAGTGATACTTCAAGCCTCACAACCCAAAACCCCAAATGATTTCATATCAAATCTAACCCCAAATTACACCCAAAAATAAGTATTTCCGAATTTGACATTTTCCCGTATCTGAGAATTTTCCATTTCACTGTTTTTGATCAATCTCGTGAAAACACCATCAAAGAAGGGGAGGTAGAACCCAATCAGGCTTTAACGCACAGTCTAGCCGTCGTCCAGGGGAACCACGCGGTCCCAGGAGAGAGCGGTTGCTACGCCTTCCCGCGCAGGGCAGCTGGGAGCGCGCCGGGCCGCCGGCTCCTCCTATTGGCCGATTCGGGCATGCGCCCGCCCCGCCCCTCTCCCAGGTTTCCGTCGCGAAGGACGCGGCGTCGGTTGGTTGTCAGGATGGCAGCGGCCGGGTCGCTGCCGCCACCTCTGCTATTGCGGAACGAGGTCGCCGCCGTCGCAGCTACCGTCGCCACCACAGTCCCCAGCTCCGCTGTGCATGAGCCAGGGCTGTCGCGGGCGACTCCTCAGCGCCCGTGACGCGAGGCCTGAGAGACGGGGTGCGGGAGGGGCCGAGGAGAGGAGGCGGAGGTGGCCGGCGCGGCCATGAGGGAGGCGCGGGGGCGAGGCGGAAGGCGGTGCTGAGGTGAGAGATGCGGGCGGGGCGGCCCGGAGCCCAGAGCGCGGCCCCCGGCCTGGGCGCGGAATCCGCGGACGTCCTCCGCAGAGCCCCGCTCAGCCCTCGGGAGAGCGGCGCGCGTCCCCGACCTGGCGCTTACCTGTATCCTTCCCAGTCTGAGGCCGCCGCCGGGTGGCGGTGGGCTTCGAAGTGGGGCTTGTCTGTTCTGTTTTGTTTTGTTTTTTCCGTTAGATTTTCATTGTCGCTAACGCAACGTGGTCCAAACTAGCAAGTCATCTTGATGCGAGTATTTTGCTTTAGCAGCTGTCATTTTTTCCGTGTCCCTAAAATCATACCGCTTCATCCTGTGGCTCCTTCCCCTGCCACTCTGTTGTCCCTACCCCTAGTCTTCAACTTCGTTGTAAAATTTTTGTAGGTTTTAAAATGAATGTGTATTCTGTGAGGGAGATGTTTTGCCTCCTAGAATTATGCCATTATGTTCTTGTATATTTGCCATTTTTTGATTAATCATGTCTCCTTAGAGAAATCGTACAAAAAATAAAATGTTTTGCTAGTCTGGAGATCTGTTTTAACCGTCAATCTAGTGCATCCCTGATGCATTTACCAGAGCTACCACAATTTGGTCATTTGTTTTGTTTTCCGTCTCTACCCAGTCAGTTGTCAGAGGGATAGCAGAGACCGAAATGAACTTTCACGGTCTGGATTGTTTCTGATTTTTCCCTGGGAATCAGTTGAACCCACTTTTGATGTTGCTGCTGTTGGTAACACTGTAGAAAATTGAGTGAAAGAATTTTGTTTTCAGAATATATGGAGCATATTTTTTTTTTCTTTCAAACCATATTACAATCCTTAAAATGTAACCTTTGTATTCTCAGAGGAATTTGGTTGGCCGTGGTGCTGCAGCATAATCATCTTAACCCTTATACTCCAGCCCCATTCGGTCCTGGTTTTCTTATCCCTTTGTCTCCAGCTTCTGGGATAGTTTTTATGTTCTGTTGCGATTTTGACAGCAAACCATCAAACAATTTCTACTCAGTGTATGTTCTTTGTAAGCTGTATTTTAGGTTCTAGGGATACAGATCCACTGAAGAAAACAGGTATATACAGAGCTTCACCTCTCTGTTCATGTTTTCTTCAAGCTTCCATCCCTTTTGTTTGGCCAAGTTCTCAAAGCAGTTGTCTGCAATAGCAGCTTTTAGTTCTCTCATCTATTCATTATTAAGTGGGTTCCTTTTGTCTTTCACTCTCACTGCTCTCCTGAATTGTCCTCTCAGGAAGATACTCTGAAATAAATAGGATTGTCTTCTGAATGAATTTGATTCTCCCCCCTTGAATTTTCTTCTACTTAGTTTACCTCTAAATAACCATATAGGAAGCATTTGTGAATGACTTCTTTCCATCATTTTCATAATGAAATAGTCATAAGCTTCAATTTTTTAACTTTTATGAACATAGATGCAAATAGCCAAAATAAGTTTTGAATAGAACTCTGCAGTACATCAAAGGAACATAAGCAAAAAGACTGTATTCCAGAATTATTACGACAGATTCCTATAAAGAAATCCATTAGTAAAATATAAAGATTATCTACTTCAAAGTAATCAAATTGTAAGTGGCTTCAATAAATGACCAAAAGTCACTGATAAAATCCAACATTTTTGCTTTTCTATATGCATATGTGTGTGTGTATTTGCTGGCTTACATTTATTTTGCTAGTACTACATATATAACTTTGTATAATATATTTTAATTGTTATAAAGGGAATTTGGACATAGTAAAATATGAAACTAAAGAATGATTTCCACTTGGAGAAACACTGATCCTTATGTAATTGTTTTGAATGTTCTTAGTTTCTGTAGTGTTTCCCATTTAATTCCTAAATTAAACTAAATGTGTATAACTAAATGAAAAAGAAAAAGAAATCAAGTGAAAGAATCAGTCTTTTAAAAAGCATGTGTTGGACTGGACTTAGCTCAGCAGCGCAAGTACCTGCGTGGCAAGCATGAGGTCATGCATTCAATCCTCGTACCAAAAAAAAAAAAAAAAACTTTGTCTTGATAAAAATGTAATCTCCATATGTGAGTGCAATACTCAGAGACCATCTAGCTTTCTAAGCAGATGTAGGATTTCCTAATTCTAAATGTTATAAAAGAATAAAACTGTATTATACAGCTCATCTGATTAAAATTAACTGGATTTCTACATTTAAGACTCTTAGAATCCAAGTAGAAATAAGGTTTGTTTAAAAAGAGATCCTGTCTTCATACTGTGCCTCATTTTCTCACAAATATCCTGACTTTGACCCATTTTATCCTAACAACTTCCTCCTATTACCCATTTTATACCCAATTCTTTATTTAGACACATTCTCTCACCAACATACTTGGTTCTTCATACCCCTGTTCTGCTTCAGCTACATAGAAACTAGTATAGTCTCCCTTCTTTACTCTTTCATTTGAATAATAAAAATGTTGGCAAAGGAAATCACAAGACAGTACACATGGCACACAAAAGAGTCCCAGCTTCACCTAAACAGGAACAAGGTAACTGCCTATGCCTACCACCATTCTCAATAGATTGTCTTACCATTTCATAAAATACAGAATACCCACCATAGTGGCGCATGCCTGTATTCCCAGCATTCAGAAGGCTGAGGCAGGAGGATCACTGCAAGTTAGAGGCCAGACTGGGGTACAAAGTGAGTTCAAGGCCAGCGTGAACTACATAGTGAAACCTTGTCTCAAAAAGAAAAAAAAAAAAAAGATGCCATGACTCCCTCAAGTCCCTCAACAACAAAGAATACAAATGCACACACTGTCATCCACTTGATTTTTCTCCAGATTCACTGATAAAATACCAATTTTACTGTAGAAAGTGAATCTATACATATATCCTTATTTCTATCCACTTTCTTTTCCCTCGGCTCAGGAATTTAAACTTTCCCACCTCTCATATAATTAACTTTTTTGGCTTTCTTTTTCCTTAGGTTACAAGTATATTTAGTTCTTGACAAACCTTAAAATCAGATACACGAACAATTCCTTCGATCTAAAGATCTTTTGAACTGTATTCTAGTATCTGTTTCTTACTTAGAACTCTAAAAATGAGTAGTCATATTCATTATCTCTACCCTGAGTCATATTTTATTCTGTATTTCAAAATAAACTTGAGCTGCTGAAAAGAATAAGTATAAACATAAAATTGTAAAAATTGACAAAAAGAATTTCACATTTTTCATTGTTTGAACATAATTTTGCCTTTTGAAGAGAATTAATTTCCAAGGAAAATCTTCAAAGATAATATTAGTTTAAAACTTTGAGAAATTGTATAATTAAGTAAAACTTGAAATATATAGGAAAAATACTAGCATTGAGAATTAACATGTGTGTTATTCTACTTATATTGAACTTACTGAAGTTGATTTTTTTAAATCAGTTTTTCAATAAATAAAATGGCCATTGACTTAAATTTATGATTTTCAAAAAAGGAAAGTTAAAATTTGTGCTTAACATAGAAAGTGTTCTAGTTTACTAATGCTCACATAATGAAATATAGGTTTGCATCCTATTTCCAAAAAATCCTATCAAACATTCATAACATTTTAAAACTTGTCTTTAAAATTAAAAAAATTTTAAAAACCTTGTATTTCTAAGTGCATATAAATTTGCTTAACTCCTTGAGAAGCCAACTTTTCATTAATGCATTAAAAGCTATAAACTTTTAATCTTGTTAACTCTACCTCAGAGAATTTTCTCCATGAAATCCTTTAGCAAGTTTTTATCAAGTGATTACTATATTCTAAGAAACATAAATGTTAAGAAATGAAGTTGAAAAAACAGGACCAGATTATGGAATGCTATATAAATGCAAGCCCAGGCATTTGAGATTTACCTTGAAGATGATAGGTGCTTTTGGAGAACAACAAATAACAAAGTCAGATTGGCATATATTGTTGGCTTGGTGGAGGTTCAGCAAGAAAGTCATCATTTTAGGAGCAAGGAAATGTGTTAGGAGACTACCAAAGTAGGTCAGGAAAGTGAGTGCCTAAGCCAAAGCAGTGGAAAGAGGGACCACAGAAGAGAAAGAGAATCAAGCTAACTTTGATAGACTTGACAAGAAAAAAATTGTGTGATACAGTTATTTGTAATGGTAATATAGTTTAACCATCTTAATTGGGGAAAGGTTAAATTTGAAGATAGATACTAATATTATCCTTTTTTGTTTTGCTAGCATTAAGTGCATTAAAAAATCCTTTTTTTAACAAAGGTTGAGTGGTTTTTCATAATCTATATATAAATCACTAATAATTATATTACCAAACATTCCAATTATATTTCTAGTTGATTTTTTAATGTTTGAGTATGACCTTTCTAAGTGAACTGTTGAAGCATGTAATTTATCTACTTTCCATATTTCAATCAGTGAAATACAACCTTCTTTCATTTTCTTATGTGCATACCTCTGAAGGCTACTTGCCATTAAATAGTTCCCAAATATCTGTTCAGTGAATGAAGATATGCAGTTTTCTTGTCTGGACTAATTTCCAAAAATAATTTCCAATAATTTCCAAAAATAATTTATTTTTACCCCAAAGAAAATGAGCTCTATCTCAAATTCTAATACCAAGTCATAATTTTTATATGAAACATCTTTTGGTCATATACCCACTAAAGACATAAACTGTTATTCTTAACTTATTGCAATCTTAAGAGATATGAAAATTCATTTAGAAAAAAATTTAGAAGAAGAACGCCAAATATTACTGCAGCAACAAAAGATATGTAGAAATAGAGCACGTAAATATTTTGTGGAGTCAAACCGGAGAAAAAAGTAAGTAACTATATTTTATTCAGAAGTGTAAAAATTCTTAAATCGATATGTTAATATATTCTATTTCTGTATTTTAGAATGTTAATCATGACTGATATTTTATCTATAAGATTCTCATAGCATTAGAAATTTTATTGTTTTTCTGCCTAAAGCACAAAAATAGTGGTGTATTTTCTAATTCACTGGCTTATGACCATAACAATCTTTTCTTGTCATAAAATGTGTTCTTTTCTTTGTTTTTTGATGAATTACAAGACTAGCAATTATTACTTTATTTCTAATGTAATTTGTTTTGATTTACTATTCACCTTACATAACTTATCTGTAATGTTACCCTCATTCAATTATAAAAATGAAAAGAAATAGGAATCATTATAGAAATGTGCTAAATACAATTTTATAAATGATTGAACCAATAAAGCTTTTTGTGTAAACATTAAAATAAATTGAAAATATAAACTATCCAGTTTATGCTTAGCATTTATAGAATTTTTTTAATTATTAGTTTTTTTAAGACAAAGCAGTTATGCAGTTTCTTATTGTTGTTTTTGCTATTTTACCCATATACCTACTGTGTATGAATGGCAGAAAATCCCAAGAGTTTATTAACTACATCCTTGGGCATATGCTGCAAAATTCCCATTTGAGGATACAGAATTGTTTACTGGTAATTTTTTTTTTCTGATATTACATTTCTCTTCAACCCTTCCTTTGTCCAACATAGATAGAGACAGTTTCCTTCTGCCATTTGTCAGTTGTATTTTGATATTGTCAATGTGTGTACCCAGAAGTAGTCAAATGAAAATGTTCCTAACATCAAATGCTATTTATTTCCATTAATTGCTTTAAAAATCACTCATTTATTTTCTTATTTAGCACATTCTTGAAAAACTATTAATGAATATTTTTCTTACATTATATGATTTTATCACATTTTCAAGTTTTCTGTTCTCTCATTCAGTATTTATACAATAATCTCCTTTATTTCTCTCCAGGGATTTTATCCTTGTATCTTCCTGCTCCAAGAGGTACTAGTTACTTTTGAACCTGTTACATAACTGGCGTCTCGGAAGTTTCCCATATTGCTCTTAGGAACTGGAGCCATAATTTCTTTTCTTCTACAGAGTCCCTTTGTTTGTTTAATATTGTCAGTATGGTAGAGTACATCCTAAAAGAACTTTCTAATATGCTGTTTCATAGACTGAGCAAATTTACTGCTCCCTAAACACCCAGGAGAAATAAGCTTAATTTTCTCCCACACTGTTATTCGTCCACTATTGAGAATTACCTTCAGATAAATAAGTGAGTAGGAATTTATTCATTCAACATACATTCCTACCTGAGTACCGGTGAGTCAGCCATTATGCTGGGAGAATATTCTTTCATATTTCAGAAAATAGCAATAATCTGATTTAATAGCAACCTCATGAAGAAAAGAAGCAATTTTTAAGAAAGGCATCAAAAAGAGACTTCAGATAACTTTAGAACACTATAATGTAAGCATATAGACTTAAAAGTTCAGATATTGTGATAAAAGACCTGTGTAACCAACTGACAGAATAAGGAAGACAAAGGCCAAATTAGCACAGTTACCCAAAGAAAAGGAAAGACTGTCAAGTAACAGATAAAGCACTTTGGAGGAGATACTAAAATCCGCCGTAAAAAACATTAAATATTCTTAAAACAGAAATAAGATGAGAAAATAGTTTTATTACAGATTTTTGGGAATTTAAATAATTTTATGTCTTGCCAAGCACAAAACTAATAGGCTGGAAGACAAACTTGGTTTTGTCAGAAAATGAAAACCCAGTACATTCCTTGGCTTAGTTTCATGTCTTACAGGCTGTTGGCATTTTTATTTCTAAAAACTTTTCTCCAGCTTGGAAGAATAATACTTTATCCCTGATTTTAATTTTTTTAATTTTGAATTATCTCAAAATATGGTTGAATCTTAAAAGTTAAATGGGAAGTCATAACTACCTAAATCTGAATTGCAGTTTCATTTAAAAAAAAAAAAAAAAAAGGACTGTATCTCAGAAGACAGGCTCTCCGTTCTACAAGTATCTGTCAGGATTTTAGGTTCTCTTAATGTTACCACTTAGATTCTCCTATTAAGGAAGTCTATTGCCGTGATGGTTGTTTTTCACTTTAAAGAATATTCCCCATCAGAAGGAAATGATACTCCATGGTTGTAAAGTCCAGGGAAAATGGAACAAACAGTTAACATATGGCTGTCATTCAGTAAGGTAGCTCACTGTGAGCCAAGGTGTTCTGCCTTTCATGAGGCAGAATTGCACCAGTGAACAGACCCTTCCAAAGCTGTCAAGGCAGACCCTGTTTCCTTTGTGAAAGAGGTCGGTTCCAGGGTTAAGGGGGAATGGCAACATACTCAGTGGCAAAGAACATATTTTTTCAACAATTCCTTCTATTCCCACAGCACTTGTCACTATACCTAACATGTAATAGTACAAAAGATACTCAGCAATTCATTCTTAAGGAAGAAACAGTAGTAATAATTTCTATAATTGATAAACTTTTTATTATTGGGTGTATCACTGAGTTTGGGACTAGAATAGTCTGCTTCTCGGCCCCATTTCATTGTGTTTAATTTGACTCAGTTTAGAACGGACTACATGGTCCTGGAAATGTATACATTTTAGCCCAGAGAACAGGGCCACTGTGGAACAAAATTAAATGATACTGATGTTAATTTGCTGTCAAACATGACTTTCCAGTCAGGCATTGAGACATATGCCTGTAGTCCCAGCAGTTTTGGAGGCTGAAGTAGGAGGAGCCCAAGTTTGTAAGCATGAGCCATCCAAGAATTTGTCTCAAAAATTTTTAAAATGTTAAAAGGATGCAGGTGTAGCTCAGCATAAAGGTCCTGTGGTCAGTCCCCAGTGCCGCCTTAATTAATGAATGAATTAAAAGAGCTGGGTCTGTAGCTCAGTGGTAAAGGACTCCTGGACTCACTCCTCAACACTGCCTTAATTGATTAATTAATTAAATGGATTGGACTAGAGCTCAGTAGTAGAGTGACCCTGGTTTAATCTCCAGTGTCACACATAAACACAAAAAATTTTGAGTATAACAGGGAAATAGCTCCCTCTTTAGCTTCAGAATCTATCATTCCTTACTGCCAAACTTTTATGAATTGGTAGTATTTGCTCAGTTTCTCAAATGTGCTACTTTTTTTTTTCCCAGCTTGGGGTATTTGTATGTTTCTTCTGTCTAAATTGCTTTTTTTCCTCACAATTTCATAAAGGATATTTGTATTGTGAAATTTTCAGCTTAAATGTCGTATTTCCAGAGAAATCTCCTTATTTACCTTATGTCAAGCAGGCCCTCTCTGGTTCACTATCTCCGGTAAATACTGATGTAAGTAAATTGTGAGGTAGATGACAAGTGTTCTACTATGGCTTCTGTTTTTTCTCTTGACAAAAGATATTAGAGAAATGTAGAGAGTTATACTGTCAAAGTACAAAGAGACTAATGCATACAAAAATGATTTGCGAGGTGTGTTCGCTGCTGCTCATTGTCACTTCTGACCATTGTCCTCTCTTCTCTAAAATCCCCACTCTTCTGAGACATGGGCCATCGACATATGCTGCTCAGCCCTACCCCTGCTTACTGTAGTCACCTGGACATTCTCTTATTCCTTAGACACTAACCCTGACTCTTCTGTCTTCTACCTCTAGTTAAGTGACTGTTCTTTGTCATGTGAATGTCTTCAGGGAATCCATTCAAGCTGGCGGCCTGTTTCTCTTCAGCTTCATCCTTTCAGTTGTATTTCACCAAGGATGTTCTGCATCCTGACTCTTAATTTCTGGTCCCTTGCTCTAATGTACAGTGTCCTGTCTTTTCATTTTACTTCCTCTAGTATCCTGAATTCACCAATTGGAAGACCTCACCAGTTATCCATTCAGTTTATCTTCTTGCTGTTGTTTGTTTGTTTGTTTGTTTGTTAATAATTCCATATCATTACTTCTTTAAGACTGCGGTGACTGAGGCAAAAGTATCACCCTGAGTTTGAGGCTAACCTGAACTACAGAGTGAGACCCTATCTATGGTCTCATTTTCTTTTTTACATACAATCATATCCCTTGTGATCAAGTTCATATAGTTACTGGTTTAATTTCTATTATCAGAATTAGTTTTACCTGTCCATCTTTGTTTCTGACTTCTTTTACTTAATATTGAAATTCATCCATGTTACTACATTTATCAGTATTTCATTCTTTTTTTCCACTGCTGAGTGGTATTCCATTATAAAAATATGCCATAATTTGTTAATCCATTCTCCTATTGATGGCCACTATGTTATTCTAATGGAGCTAATAATAATAACACTATTGACTGAAAGAAAATTCAAATCAAAATGGTCAAATATAAGAGAGTCTGCAAGTAGGAAATAAGCATGTTTCATTTTTCTGAGACAATAACTAAATGTGGAATTACTAAGTCTTAGAGTATATCTTAAGTTTAACCATGTAAGAAATTATCACACAGGTTTATGAAGGAGCTGACCACTTTACATACCCACCTGCTATGTATGTGAATTTCACTGGCTTCCTAACTTTCCTAGGGTTTTAATTTTAACTGTATAATACATATGAAATGATTTTAACTTATCTTTTCCTGATTGTTCATGGCCTACTAGTTTTTACAGTTTATATAGTTTGTACTCCCTGTAACAAATGGTGCTGATCTATTTTTCAACAAATGGTGCTGGGACTTAAGTTGAAAAATAAGTTTCTTTCCCTCTCTGGTGGTCTATCACCTTTTTAAAAAAAATATATTTGTATATTGATGGTCTACCTCTGTGACCCATATTCTAAAAATTCAATTGGTCTGTTTACCCTTATGTCAATAACAGTTTTGTTGTTGTTGCTTTTAGGCTAGGGATCAAACTCACACCCTCACACTTCTACACTACACTTGATTTTTGTAGCATTAGAACAGAAATTCACAATGGTGGTGTTGACATTTTGAAAGAGGCGATTCTTTGTCATGGCAGCCTGCCTGGTGGTAGAGCATTTGTCTGCATGCACAAGGTCTGCATTTGATTCCCAGCACAATGGGGGAGAAAAATTTTACTTCTTATTTCCAATTTGGATGCCTTTTGTTTCTTTTTCTTGCCTAATTTCTGTAGATAAGTGTCCTGGTACTATGTTGACTCAAACAGTAAAAAACAGCTCCTTGTCTTGACTTGGAGGGGTTGTTAAAAGAGATTGTTTGAGGTGGCACGGTACCACTACCTCCCACTAACACACGATTGGACTACTTGAAAATACATAGCCTTACTATCCAAAAGCTTAGTGCCCTAAATCTGAATTATTTAAGCTAAACTAATGATCCAGACAGAGGATTTTTAGAAAAACAATAGTAACCTATAGCACTAAAAATCTTAAAAGATATGTTGTCATCCATTTCTCAGCTTCATGCATTGCATGGAAGTCCCATTAGAGGCTTCTGTACCAGGGAGTTTACTAGTGCCTTCTTTGGTAGCAGATTATTTTTAAATAGTATACATGCACACATACATTTTCAAAGGACAAAACTAATTTAAGATAGTACAACTTCCAGCAGAACATACACTTAGGTGTCTAGGAACAAACAAATAAATGAAACAAGAAAGTTTTAAAAAATGAGGATTATAAGGTTTCTGTAACCATGTATGATGGAAGAATTCAGGCTTATCAAATCTTCCAAATTTATAAAATGAGGTGGAAATTTTCTGTAAATTGTCTGAATTTTTAGGTCAGTTCAGATTTAATGTGACAGCCAGTTTTAGATTTTTGATCTAAAAGGAAATGATATATACTGTATTTCCTCAATGAGAACTGAAGCCAATACCTTTACATTGAACTATAGTCCCAGCTCTTTTTTTTTTTCTTTTCTTTTCTCTTTTTTTTTTTTTTTTTTTTAAGTCAGGGTCTGTTTGACCCCGTAGGTGGAAGAGACTGGGCTAAACTTGTGCTTCTCCTGTCTCAGCTTCCAAGAGTACATCACCATGTCTGGCTACTTGCCCATATTTTGCAAGGCTACTTCTTTTACTCATGAACTAGCTATCTGCAACATCATAGCTCTTAGGAAAAGGTTTTTCCACAGCAAAGCTTGGGAAGTGAGAACAGGTTACAGGCCTGCTTGAAACTGGAAGTGTCCTTATTAAAGAGCCTTCTCTTAGCTGCAAAAGATGTGGATGAGGTTTTTAAAATTAACACTTACAATATATTTAAATTCTTCATTGATTCTATCATGTAGTATCTTATTGGATTTTATCATGTGTAGTTGTATAAACAAAATTTTTATGGACAGTGAGATAATATAGTAACCATTGTTCGTTTTCTGTTATTTGGTTCTGAATGCCCTGTAATACTTTCATTCTATTTAATGGTTTTATACTATTTTGTTATGGTTGATACTATTGTGTACGAAAGTATGCTCAACTGTTTCAAGGAAAGAGACAGTATGGTAGCTATTGTTATATCGGGTTGTCTTGTGGTGAAATACTGTGTTGCTTACATTGTTCTGTTCTGATCTGCTTTGTTATGGCCTCTTTTGTCGTAATCTCTTTAAAAGAAAAAAGAAAAAAAACTAAATTCTTAACCAACATAGCTTTTAAAAATCTAAGATTTGTTCTTTCTGAGAAAAAATTTGAACGATGAAAACACTGCAATAAATGGCATTGTTTTAAACTATTTCTTCTATTTTGAGTTTTTGTAATTTATTGCCATTTCTGTTATTTGCTTTGTTTTAAATATAGAGCTTTTGAAGAAAAACGGAAAGAACATGAAGAAAGGGAACACCAAATTAGAGAACAAATACTTCAACAAAGAAAACAGAAGTTTGAAGAAGTTACTGAAAAATTCCAGCGTGCCCATATTCCTCTTTCTCAACGGAGGAGAGCAGGTACCTTAATTTCTAGACCAATATGGGAACAGAAATTAAACTTACAACCACATTTGACTTGGCAATAAAGTGATACATGAAGAAACCAAATAGAAACCAAAACTAAAAGGCAAGCATGCTTTTTGAATAAGTAGGACTTTAACCAAATGAAAAACAGTAATTTGATTTGGGTTTAAATAGAGAATATTTTTTTGCCTCTGTTAGTAAATTCTCTATTATCTTACAAGTTTGATTCAATTTTAAAATGGCTTATAGTTTCATCTTTTTTAACCAATTAAGTAATAAAAAAAACATTTGCATTCAGAAAATTAATGTCACATTCATTCTGGCATTTTATCCACAGTTTGGTTCAAATTCTTATTTGAGAGACTAGCAGAACAAAAAGTCTACAAAATAATATAATCTAACAGTCAAAGATTTATACCCAAATAAATATGAAATTTAAATATTATTATAATTGATTATTTGGTAGCACGTTCACATATTTATACCTTCAATAGTATGACAGAATTAGCATCTATGTCAAAGCTTCATAAAGATAGGCAGACCCTTTTGCATTTATTTAGCCATCTTATTCTGTTATATGCTACCCTGTGCATGGGCCTGGTCTAAGCTGATATACAATCTCAGTGTATTCTATATTCATTGTATTCTGCATCTCATGGCCTATTTTGGAGATGAGAGTAATGTAAATAATGTTAATAATATGGTAATCTTCTATGATAACAGAATGTGTAAAATATTACGAGAGTGGAGCTGGGGATTTAGCTCAGCGGCATAAGCGCCTGCCTTGCAAGCGGACAGTTGTGAGTTCGATCCCTGGTACCGATTTAAAAAAAAAAAAGTCAAAAAAAAATATTATGAGAGAGAGAGAGGAACACTAAACATTCGTAAGGACATCAAGTATATGATTCCTGGAAAAGTACTTCAATTGAATTTTTGCCAGGCAAAAAGAAAACAAAAAGACATCAAAGACAGAAGGAACATATAGCAGCAGTGAGGACAAGCCAGGTGTGGTAGTACATGCTTGTAATCCCAGTACTGGGAGGCTGAGGCAGGAGAATCACCAAGAATTCAAGGCTATCTGAAGCTACATAGTGAGACCTTGTCTCAGAAAACTAAAAAAGCACCAAAACAGAACAAAGTCATTGAGGCCAACTATATATTCAAGTATACATACAGTCATATGACTAGACAACACTTTAAATGTATGTCTTTATATACTTGTCTATCCTTTATCTACATGCATATAAAAGTTGTATAGAATGTAAATGTGTCAAATATATTAAATTAGCATTTTAAATTATTAAAAATGGTTAATGGTGATATTGAGGCTTTTTAGGAGTTAGTATTTCAATGTAAGAATTTTGGAAGCGGCACAAACATTCATACCAGAGCAAACAATGACTGTTTTTCTAATTATTATACTCAGTTTCAAACATAGGTCTTTATTGGTGAAGTTAGTAGCCTGTTGAACAGCCTGATGATAAAAATAGGCATTATATTGAAATTCAAGGTATTTATGATAAGTGAACTTTCCTGAACATATTTTAATCACCATCTGTATTTACAAGAGCAGAGAATAGGAGGATATGTAGGTCCATCTGAAGCCACCAATAAAGACCCGTATAGGAAATTAAATACAATAATTAGAAAAACAGTCACTGTTCGCTGTGGTATCTCTTCCAAAATTGATATGTTGCAATTCTAATCCCTGTAGTGATGGGTAGTAGATAGGACCTTTGGGATCCGATTAGATTAGTTCCCTAGAAGAGACCACAGAGAGCTACTTAACACTTTAATAAGGTGAGAACACAGACAAAAAAATACCCTCTACATGGAAATAGACCCTTACCACACACCACTTGCTCGTTGATCTTGGACTTCTCAACCTACAGAACTGTGAGAAATAAATTCCTATTATTTAGTAAGTTACCCTGCTTAAAGTATTATAACAACCTTCATGAACTAATACTTAAAATCTGATATATATGTCCTTTATGATTAGAATAGCAGCAGACCATCCCACAGCTCTGCATTCTTCTCTAGCATATTAACGTAACTGCTAGGGAAATGAATTGCCTCTAGAATTCAAATTTGAATTAATCATCATGTAGTAGTATACTGAAAGCAACAGGAGAAGCAATATTTTTAAAAGAATATTTCAATTGAGCAAGAATCTAAATTGAATATTTGGAAAAAAGTAAAAGAAATAAGAGTATATCAAACATCAAAGTGCACATTAGAAAGCTTCGGGATCAAAAAAAAAAAAAAGCTTTGGGACAGTGAATACATATAGGAGGCAGAATTGGGTTAAAGGTTTTACAAAGCAGTGTGTGTATAAATGTCCATACTGGTACAAGAGCATAAACAAGTTACTTGGCTTCTATGTATCTTGGTTTTCTTAACTGTCAAATTCAAATAGCATCTGCCTCATAAGTCATAGTGAACATTAAATTAGTTAATACAGTACCTATAAAGTGCTTAAAAATAAGACATAACAGTGAATGTTTAATGAATGTTTATATTTCTTTTATTCATATGAATATTTATAAATTTCGTCAGAAAGTTATGGGACTATGAGAGCACATATAGAGGGGTTTATATGACAGATTAAAAAGCCTGAACATTTCTCAAAATTTTTTTTCAGGTAATGCTTAAAATTGGTGATGAAAATTTCCAAGAAATAGTTCATTTTTGAAAATTAGATGTCAGAATTTTAATATTTATACTATTGTAAAATAGTTTCTTTTTACAATTGTTTTATCCATTGACCAACTAATTTATATATAGAACATTGATGACCAAGTATTCTTTACTGTTTTATCTTTCTTTTGATTCTCTCAGTTTTTCACAAAACAGTTCCTCCATTAGAAGAGGCCCTCAAACAAATTCAAGAATCCAACCTGAAATCAGAAGTACACCTTCCTTTTGCCCACAGACCAACAACAAATTGGAGGTATATAATTACTTGTATATAGTAATTTCTAGTTGCTAAATTACTTCTCACCTATGTTGTAGAGCTTATTTATTTTCACAGATTAAATTGAGTTAAAATCAGAATTCTATTTTGTTGTCTGGAAATGTTTTAGGTACTGTAAGTACTTCCTTTGTTGAATAATTTTCTATGAAATTTCTATGAAAATGCTCATCAAAACAATTTTAATATCTCAGGGTTGACTTTTATTGTTACTGAGAAGAGAAAGTTGAATTATAGTGATGTAAACTTAGGTTAAAAAAAATAATTTTACATTAAAAAAGGGTTTTTCCTCCTCACTGGAAGAGTTTTTCCTAAATGTCCTAAAAAAAACTACAGCAACTCCTAGTTCCTGTCCAAAGTGGCATAAATGAATCATCTAGAAATAATAGGATATATTAACCAAGTACTATGCACCCTCTAACATCCTATATTTTTCATTTATTTATTCCATATACTTACTGATGTTGCTACATACAAGAACTAGATCAAGCTTTCTAAGAGAATGTGGAAAGGTATACTATTGTAAAATACAATCCTTAGCATGTAAAATAATGCTTCAGAAATATAGAATAATAACTAAGCAATAATAATAGTATTTCACATTTATTTACATAAAGATACCAATAGTTCAGATGGAATTTATGTATTTATTTATTTATTTATTGGTACCAGGAATTCAACTTATAACCTCACACTTGCCAGGCAGGTGCTGGGCCACTGAGCTGTATTCCTGGCTGGATACCAGTAATATGTAGAATAAATCATATTAATATTTGACCTGTACACAGCATTATTCCACTTTTATAATATCTGTGGTTAGTAATTCCCTTTATTAGGGATAACAAAACAAAAATTTATAGTGTCAGTTTTCAATAGAGTTCAGAAAAGAACTCATAAAATAGAGAACTCCTTAGCAAAGCTTTGGAGAAAATGGAGTTAATCATGGAAAGGTCGAGTGGATGTTCTAACAAAGCAATGAACATATTCAAAGGCCAAGAAGGCATCAGATATTACAAGAGTGACAATCTGGTTAAGTCATAGGATGCAACAGCTTGTGTAGATGTGAGGCCATAGAGGTAAATGCATCTATATGTTAAGAAATACAAACTTTATCCTAGAGTTTTAAGAGGATTTTAAGCAGATAAGTAAATCCAAACTTTTAAAACGTATCATTCCAATCATTGAGAAATTTTGTGAGTAATGCACTGAAAAAAAAGACTATTCAAAAAATGTATAAATTATATGATCTAGAACTGAAGAGAAATGACAGTGGATGTGGTCAACCACTGAGAACACGTCCTGTGATGAACACCAGAAAACGCCATTTAAAGAAGTACAAAAAGAGACGCGTGCAAATAGGAGCAGCTAGAATTATTGACAGCAGAGGGTAATATTATGGACACTAAGGAAGGATCAAGTTTCATGGAAAAGAAGTAGTTTCCACAGATAAATGACTTCTAAAGAATGAGTGAACTAGTAAAATAAAAAGTTGTGTTCGTCAGGATCATAGCAGGAATCAAGAGGCATATTTAAAAGATTGGCGAGAAGTTAATAAAGGGACTGTAAAGCCACCAAAAGATTGTGAGGTCCTTTAGCATTGTCAGCAAAGTTAGCAGTACCAACACACATCTGAACCGAAAGGAGCTGTAGTTGTGGAAGAAGGCTGATAAAGAGGTAAAGAAACATAATCACTGCTAAACCGAGCACAGCAGGGAGGAAAACAGGGATAAGTACCAAAAGCTGCTCTGTCAGCATCCTATCTCCTGCTGTTGTCATTCATTAGTCAGATGCAGCCATGAGTCTGAAAGCAAGTTAGAATTTAGCCTCTGTAGAGTGCGGCTGAGTGGGAAAGTATAGGAAACAAATCTGGAGAAGCAGAGAGAATATCCAGAAAGAATGAGTTCACTGTATTTCACAACAAAAAAAGTCATGACAACTTTTGACAGCAATTTCAGTGGAGTGGTAGCAGCATAAAATAGACTGCAGTGAGTTGAAAGAAATGGAAAGAAAGGAATATGAAATATAGCTTCCCTGTAAACATAAAAGAGTTACAATAACCAGAAGAAACATAAGGATGAGCTACAGCCTTCTCATTTAAAATGAGAGAGATCTACCCTGTTTAAACATTTCATTTAAAATGAGAGAGATCTACCCTGTTTAAACATAATGTCAAAGTGATAAGTAACAGAATTGCAATCTAGAAAGGTCAAGTAGGATTTTAAAAAAAGTATGAGATGAGTAAAGTATATACTCTGTGCTATACTTTGAATAACATGGATTACACCTATGAATGAGATATTGTCCCCTGCCCAATAAGTATTTGCAGTTAAATTAGAATTCATAGGTAATACTATATACTGGAGGCTCTTACAGAATTATTTTTTTTCTCTTATAGAATTAGTAACAAAGGCATAAAGAAACACAAAATTAAAAAATTGTAAAGAATGAGTAGGAAAGGATTGTCTTATAAAGAAGCAGGCATTGGGTTTTAGGAATGTGTAAGTTAGAGAGTTATAAAAGACAGAGATCCTAAAGGACATGGAACCTGTGTAGAGTGACAGGACAATAAGCTGTGTTGCTAGTAGGACAAATGATGATCTGGAAATATTAATTGAAATCATATTTGAGGTTATTCATTTAGTCAAGGAGTTTAAATTTTATCCTATAAAATGGAGAGCCAATGATGATTTTAAAGTAGGGAATGATATCCTCCTTATAACTTTAAAAAGGTAAATGGTATAAATGATAAAGAATAAATGGAATTTTCCAGTAAACCAAAGAGGAAATTATTGGGATACTACAATGCATATGTCATTACTGCCTAAATCAGAATAACACTGTAATAGTTTAGTGAAGAAGATCAGATCTGACAAAGAATGAAAGGGTAGAAGTGAGATGTAGTTCATAGTGCAGTGCTTGCCTACACTGTACCTGGGTTCAGTCTCCAGCACTGCAAAAAGGTATATAATAACTATTTTAATCACTTTCCCATCACTGGAATGGAATAACCCATCAGCCGAGACAAAGGAGAACAGGTTCATTTTGGTTCATGGTCCCAGCCCATGGTCAGCTGGCTCCAAGGCAGAATGAGCATGGTGGAAAGGCTTGAGTGGAGAACAGCTGCTCATCCCATGGCAGCCAGAAAGCAGAAAGCAAACCAAAGAGGCAGGAGAAAGACACGCCCTTCCAGGTCACATCCGCAGTGACCCTATCTTCTGATCAGGTATCCTAACAGCACAGTCAGCTCTGGGTTTGTCAGTGGATAGTGTCCCCCGGATGCGGTCTCCTTCCAAAAATCTCATCTCTGAACACATAGGACTTTGGGGGGACATTCTAGATCTAAATCATAACATTCCATCCTTCACCTCCAAAACACTCGTATCCATCTCTTCATGCAAAATGTATGCAGTCCATGGATATGAGTTGCCAAATTCATAAACAGCTCCAGCTTTGCTAAAAGGTCCAAGTCCAAAGTCCCCTCTGAGACCAAGGCACACTCTTAATCTGGGAATCTGAGTAAAAATTAAAAAGAAAAAAAACTTCTGACATAATAAAAATTTCCACTCCAAAGGGAAGAAATAGGAATAGGAAAAAAATGAGGTCAAAGACTTAAACTCAGTAGGAAAAACATTAAATCCTGTAGGTCCATGTTCAGCACCTGGCGCAAGTTACAGGGAGATATAAACTATAAAGGGCTTGGGTGGCCTTCCCTTATGTTTTGTCAGTTGCAGCCCTTGTGGCTTCTGGGATTGTGAGAGACAAATTGAGAGGAAACCTGGGATATAAGGAATAATTACTTATAATTACGTATAAAGAGGCGTAAAAGGCCATGTTGTCCTAGGAGAACGGGACATGATTTAGTTTGGCTTATATGTACATTGAAAAGAGAGTTGTGGGCAGGTAGGTTAGAAAGGATGCCATGAGTTAAACCATGAAGAACCTTGTTAAAGAATTTGTTCTGTAAACAATTAGTGAAAGATTTAAAATAAGAACAAATTTGTATTTTTGAAATATTGCCAGGGTGGAAAAAAGCAGGGTAAGACTAAAGGTATAAAAAATTAAGTAAAGCAGTACTTAGGTAATAAAAATGATTTCATCTTTTTAAAATTTTTATTAGTACATGTCTGTAGTAAATAATGCTTATATTCATCAAGGAGAATTGCTACATGTACCTAACACATCTTAATTCTTTATACTTCCCCAACACTCCGCCTTCATCTCCTGTGATGACTTAAGAGCTATTTAGGAGGAATGGGTTTACACACCTGTAGTCCCAGCACCCTGGGAAGCTGAGGAAAGATTATTACAAATTTGAACCCAGCCTGGGCATTTTGGAAAGTTAGTGAAAACTTGCCTCAAAATTTAAAAACAAGTGCAAAACTCCTAGGATTGATCCCTAGTACCACAAAACAAATAGGTAGGAAGGTAGGCAGGCAGTTAGACAGATACCGTAAATTTTTACAGTTATTAGTAAATTGCACATTTGAACATTAATCATCCCATGCTAGCTTCATTGGATTAATAAATGTGTAGCAGATTAGTAAAGCACGCTCCAGGTTGTGTCGGGGTAGGTCATAGAGGTAAGGCCTTGGGTGCCATACGTCTGGCTCTGTTCCCCTGCTGTACATGTTGAATGCCATGAACTAAGAAGCTTTGCTCCGCCATATCCTTCCACCATGATGTCCCAGCCAGCTGACTATGAATTGAATTTCCCACTAACTGGGCTAAATTGAACCTTTCCTACCTTTAAGTTGTAAGCGCCAGGAATTGTGTCCCACAACAGGAAAGCTTACTGCTACAGCAAGCAAAGCAGAGCCCAAGTGGGAAAAGCAGGACCAAAGAACAGTGCAGTAAGGAACAAATGGAAGTTAAGGCGGTGAAAGCAATATAATTTAGGCTGCTTTATGGAGAGCTTTTCTTAAAAAATTGACAAACAGTTAAAGAGCGGGGTCCCTAGGCTCAGGGGAAATCTAGGCTGAGCTGAAAATTCAAAATAATTTAGAACAGAAGTATGTGCATTTTTATACAGGGATGCTTCATTTTTAGGTTTTCTGTATCTCAGTTGTTACACTTCACATTAATCAGATGTTTTCAGTTTTTAAAACTTCTTCCATGCAGTAAATGAAAGTCTAGACTTGTTTGTTCAACAAAGAGTAGTTGCTTAAAGTCTTGGGAGAATTAAAATATCAAAATCCTGACATTAAATTTGCACTAGGATCACTAAATATGCATCATCTTTGTTTTACGAAAAGTGACTTTCAATCTGCACTAACATACCTACTTTTCATGTTATTGTAATATACTATTATGACTGACTTTATGGTGTTTATATGTTTCTGTGTATATATGTATCACAAGCATGTATTTAGAAAACAAAAATATGTACAAAATATAAGGAGAACAGTAGTTTCATTATTTCAGAGTTGCATTTCTCTCCACAGATAACTAACAGTAGTAAATAATGTATAGGAAAATGTTTTATAAACTATAAATGCAATTCAGATGTAAGATGTTGATATGTAAGAATCAAATGTTAGGCAATTAGGATAGAATTATTGCACATATAATTATTATTGACATAAGTATTGTTACATTAAAATACCTTCTTAATGTAATATAAACCTAAAGTGTGTTACCAAGAAACGGAGTTTCCAAAGAAGCCAGGGTATATCAGTACTCATGAAAAAGTGTTCTAATGTGGAAAATGTTAATAGTAGATAAATACAGTTTCAGATATTGGTAATGTGATCTAAAACAAAAAAAACTGTAAAAAAAGAAGAGCATTTATACTCAAGCCTCAAGAAAAACCAAAGAATATATTTTATGACCATAGAACCTTTTCAGAAGAAAGAAAATATAAAAATAACCAGAGACTTAAAATTAAAAATATAAAAAGTAATCAGTCTTCCATCACAACCAAATTCTTACCACAGAATGATCTTGACACTCCTGATAGGTACAGGGTAAAAAGGGTATATTCTTCCCTATATTAAATACTTGTTATTCTTTTACATAATAACAGTGTTAGATATCTATCTCCAATATCCATGTGTTTTCTAGCCACGTGCTGTCCTGCAAAGTCTGGCTAGAGCTTAGCTACTGTCTCTAGCTACTGTCTTCTTGCCCTCTACCATGTTTTACACCTGATTTTTCAGCCCAAATTCAAGTATCCGTATGGCTAACAGACTTCTAAAACTAAGAAAAAGGGTACCTGAGTTAGCCATGTACATTTTTCTATTGTGGTGAGAGCTTGCTGGTTAGCCAGTGAAGATCATGCATGGACCCTCAGATCAAAAGAGTAACATAAATTAAAGTCCAGAGACAATCCATTAAATTCATACAAATCTTAATAAGGCCGTTTCTACCCACCTGTCCAAATACTTTTCCACCTGTGCAGATCCATTCCTGCCTGTCCAGCTGTCTCCACACCTGATCCCTGCTCACCTGGTGGACTGTTTTCTTCACGGGCTCCATTACTGTCCCACCATTCCCAGATTCTTCCCAGCTACCCAACTGTGTCTCCTACCCGGCAGCCCCAGACTCTGCCTGTTGTCCCCTCTACTCTCTCAAGGACCTTTTTACCTGCCCCATCAGTGTCATACCCAGTCAAATATATTCCTCACCCTCCGGCCCCAGTTACATCCAGCTTTTCGGGAAGTTTCCCTCATCTACCAGCCCCCATTTTTTCTGGCCCGCCTGATCATCGACCTCTTCCATCCCAAAATTCTCTGTTTATTCCTGATCCTGATTCACAGGACAAGCTATTTTACAAAGCTTTCAGACCCAAACATTTACTTCCAGCACACCGTTCTACCCCAGGCACTCTAATGCCTGCCCTTGCTCACCGTTCCCTTCCAGCCCCTTTGGCTGCTCTCCCTGCTTTGAAGCCTTCTTGTTTGTCCAGTCATCCCCATCACCAGCCAGGCCCCGGTCTCTCTGAAACCACTCCACTGCCTGAATATCCTGATGGATTGGATCCTTTTCAGCCAGTTCAGCAATCCCTTTCACGAGCCACACTGTCAAGTAAGCCCCAGGCCTTTGCAGGCCGTCAGCCGGCCTCACTTCCTCCCCATGTACCTCCCTGTCGTTCTCCATCTTCTTTTCCTTCATCTTCTTCTACCTCCTCCTCCTCTTCACCCTCAGTAATGTTTTCTTCTTCTTCACCCGTTCTCTCTCCACCTCCCTCTTCTACTTCTCCTGCTCTTGCCCCCTCATCTAGACCACTTTTGTCATCTCCTTTGCATTCATCTCCTTCTCCATATTTGCCTCCAACTTATTTAGCTTTTGCCTCTCCAGTTTCCCCTGTTTCTGCTTCCTTTATGATTTCTTCTTCCTTTCCCCCTATGCTTCACTCTCCCTGTATTTCTGTATCCCCACCTCCTTTCAATCCTCCTCACTGGGGGAAGAAAGTAGAGAAGAGAAGAGAAGAAAGTGGAGTAGAGAAGAAAGGAATAGTGAAGAAAAAGTTGAGAGACGACCACCTTAAAGGTAAATAAATTGAGTTTGTTAGATACTTTGTAGTTTTAGCTTCTTTGGGGTGGGGGGAAGGCTGACCCAAGGGGAAGGATTACGTAAGAGTAGGGAAGTGTAAAAGGAAGATACAGAAACATACCCTCAATGTTCAGGAGCTTGTACTAAATTCTTGCTCTCCCTGATCTGCCTGTAGTAACAAAGAGATAATTAGTATCTAATAATCATCAATAATCATTAATCTTCACTATTTCAGTCTGTCCAAATAAAGATATGTATGGGTATTGGAGATAGGTATATATCATATATGGCCGTGTTGTCACCTTCCAAACGTTTTTATACTTATGAAAATGGAAATAATTTAACTGAATTGGGAATAAGTGATTAAGATTTATACTATTGGCCCTAATGCATTAAACAGTCAGCTATATGACATCTTTATCCCTGTCCCATCCTTTTCCATAGTCTTTCCTTAGTTCTGTTTTTCACTTTATATATAAACTGAAATTAACATATCATAGGTTTGCAGATAATACAAAATTCTAAATAGATGATGATGATATTTCAGCGACATTTTGACACACTACAAGTGAATATTAAAGATACCCTTTCTGTAGCATGAAAACCATGCTTATATTCCTGAAACTAAAACAAATGTGTACACTCCTCAGTGAATGAATCAAGCTTCCAAAAGTAGAGAGGAAATTCCTGCCTATCCTGATGAGCAGTTTCATAGTTTCTATGTGTCTGAATTTGCTACCAACTTTCTTTAGGTTGTAAACATGCCTATGACCCATGACATCAACTCAGGACAAAGGGTAATTCAGAATATTATTATCTAGATAGGGATGCTCTAAAAAACCTGAAGATTGGCTCCACACATGTACAGGAATTATTATCCCTATTCTAAATGATAGAATGAGATGCAATAATTAAAGTCATGACTATTTGAGCATTCCTACATAAAGGTGGAGTTTTTTACTGGTACTATAATCTAAAACCATTTTTATTCTAGTTTAATGACTTTTTGATTGCTTTAAATTACCATACTATCTATTACTACTATAGCTATATATTTCTCCAATATCCTTATATGTTATTATCTGGACATACAGATATGTCATTTATATATTTATAGAAATAAGTTAATTTTAATTAAATATGCTAAATATTTTATGTCTGATTCACAGAGCTTTAGATTCTACTTTGCCTTCAGCATTGTCAAAAAATGATCACAGGCATCATAAACATCCTTTATCCAAAATCAATTGGGATACAGAAATGAAGGAAAACAACATGGCCAACCTAGCTACAAACAAAAATGTGTTCCAGCTTAAACTGGAGGAAACTCAGAAACTCTTAGAAGATCAGCATTTAAGCAGTTTGCAAGTATGCAACTATGTTACTAATGTTTTAATTTCTAGTAATAATTCTTCCCCACTTTTCAGTGATCACTAAAGAAATATATGTTACTAAGTAAGAAAGGCCATAAGAGGAAACATGGATGAATCAGGACAAATTCAACATGGATACTAGAGGAAAAGCTTTTTAATTTTTTTCCTTACTTCTTGCATTTTTTCTCTTATTCTTCTTTTCATTATCTATCGCTTCATTTCAAAAAATGTGCTTTACTCATGTGATTTTCTGATACACACGAAAGCTATTTAAAAGTACAGTGTAATATAAGTATCATTACTAGAGCTTATAATACAAAAATAACCTTAAGATTATAAGACATGTGATTATTAGGTTCTTAACTGAAACATGACAGAATTAGTTTCAAATGGTATTTCTAGTCTGTTCCTTCTAAAAAATTTGCTGTTATTTTTTTCTAAAATTAGTGTAGATTTCAAATGGCTTCCCTACATGTTCCTGTGCTTTGTTTTTCATTAATAATTATATCCACTTATGAGATTCCTAATAATTCAATATCAAGATTAAATTGGACTGATTGATTCGACAACTAGTCAACAGTGGAAAGGCTAAGAAAGCAAAACAGGAGATTTCTGCTAGCAGTGAAATATGACTTCTTACCAAAAACAGCCATAATTCTGAATATAACATTTGAAACAACTGTTTTTAGACATTGAAGAAATGCAGTACAGGGTGTGGTTTTGAAAAGGAAAATAATGAGTTAGCCTCATGGTTTTCTACTTAGACGTACTATTTAGATAAACCTCAAAAAATCTGAAAATGATCCATTTGCCTGCAAAAAAACTTTACAAGCTGTAAAATCTAGAAATGCAATAAGATAGTATTCATGATGTCAACATTCCATCAGAATGTACTAGATACTATAAAGAAATGGGAAAATATGACCCATAGCCAGGAAAAATAAGTCAGTATAATCAGACACAGAAATGGTAGGGGTTATGGACTTAATAAACAAAAAGTATAAACCTAAAGTAAAAAATGAATGTAATAAAATTTTTTAAGGAGCCAAATAAACCTTATAGATATGAAAAGCACAATGTCCACAATGGAGGTTTTTATTGGAAGGGCTTAATAATACAGTCATTGAGGGGCAGGAAAAAATACACATACTTAAAGATACAGTAGGAGAAATTATATAACGTGAACTACTGGAAGAAAAAATACCGGAAAAAAGTAACAGTGATAGTGACCTGTGAAAGAGTATCAGTCAACACATTTAATTAAAATTTCGCAAAGGAGAAGAAATACTTTTTAAAAAACTATGACTGACTGAAAATGTTCCATATTTGATAAAAATTGTAAATACACAGATTCAGGAGACTCTACAAGTTCCAGAAAGGATGAGTACACATGCATACACAATTCAAAGGCACACTAAATTCAAATTAAGTGGGAGGGAAAAATGATATGCTACAATATAGGAGAACAAAGATAAGATGGACCACAAGTATAATTCACATCAAAACTTGAGAAGCTGGTCACTTTATTGTGTTGTTCAGTGGTGAGAAAATTCTTGGAAAAACAAATAAAGCTTATGAAACCAACATTGCCAGACATCTTTTGAGGTACTTTGAGAGATAAGACCATCACAGACCTTTGGAAACAGAAATCTTTCTTGCAAGAATGACCATCAAGTTTATATTCAAAAGGACCTTGTAACCCAGGTTTCTTTCTCACTAAAAGCATTCTCACCAGAGGTCCTCCAGGCCTAGTTTATTTATCAATTACAAAAATCTAATCCAAAAATGGACACTGTTAACATGCTTTCTTTTTGTTCTCCAGATTATTTTCACTTTAAGAATGCCAAGGATATGAAGGGACAAATGTTAACAGTATGAAACCTTTATGAATAACTAAACTTATTTCACAATAAAATATCAATAAGCATCAACTATATTACAGAAGTCTTTATTTCCTTGATTTCTTTATTGCATGTTGTCCCATAACAAAGTATTTAAAATTTCTAAATTTTATAATCCTCAGGATACAAATCTTTCTTTGAGTTCTTTCAACTTTTTTATTGAATTTACAATTTAAGCCAGGCGCGGTGGTACCCACGAGTAATCCCAACACTTGGGAGGCTGAGGCAGGAAGATTCTTGCAAATTTGAGACCAGCCTAGACTACAAAGTAAATTCAAGGCCACCCTGAAATGAATAGTGAGACCCTGTATCAAAAAAGACAAAACAAAAAAATTTAATATCTTCGGAAAATTTATTTCTAGGGCTAGAGGTTTAGCTTAGTGGCACAAGTGCCTGCCTGGCAAGCATGAGGTCATGAGTTCCATCCCAGTACCAAAAAAAAAAATTCTTTCTATTGGTCAGGGATTTAGCTCAGCGGCATAGTGCCTCCCTGGCAAACATAAGGTCCTGAGTTTGATTCCTGGTGCCAAAAAAATTTCTATATGTGATACAGATCATGTGTGAGAAATCAGAAACATTTTTATATAGTTATGATACTTTCATGTTTACAGGTTTTTTTAATAATTGATAAATTCCATGAAAATTTTGCTGAAATAATGAAGAGACTGTCTTGAGTTTATGAAAATTATCTGCGCTCAGTCTCCGAAAAAGGAGTCATTTTATAAGTCAATTGTTCTTGACTCAAAATCCATATTACTGTTTCCTGGGGAATTTTAAAACACTAGTAATACACAGACTCTAGCCAAGTATTAAATCAATTGGACTCAGGCATAGATATTTTTTAAAATGTTCTTTATGTGGCCTTGACATGTAAATAAAATTGAAAATATTACTATAGACTACAAGATTAGCTTTTATAAAAGGAACTATATCCTACCAACAGGAAGTTCATATCAAGGTCACAAAGCTTGTAGAAGACGCATTCAAGACCAATGACTGTGTCGGTAAAACTACAATTTATAAATAAGTATTTTTTTAGAATTTTACTTGCTATTATGCAACCTTCAAGAAACTTCATACTCCAAATGGAGTATCAATAAGAAAACTTACTTTCTAAGCAGTAACTGTGGCTGGAATAATTGGATAGTTACTTTAGGAGTTGAAATTAAAGCAATAATACTGTATTATAAGTCATGTTTAACCCCTCTTATTTTTTATCCTGAGAACTAACCGGTGCAAGGATATAAGTCATTTATACAGCTGTGCTATTACAGTCATATGCGCTGAACAGAGTTGGACTCAGTAACAATGTGTGTCATTAATTTTACTATTTAAAAATATGTAAAATATAAAACAATGTTTTGTCTTTTTTTTTCCTATAGAGATTTTGTGATGAAGTTAAGCAGATAACCAATTCTGAAACCCTTTCAAGTATAGACAGTCTTGAGGCTGGAGAGCATGAAGAAATGTATTTAACACTTAATGAGGAGCCTTCAACAGCAGTCCAGCAGAGTTCTGTTTCTCTCAAGTCAGCAAATCTGCAGTCAGCTAATCTAAATCACTTTGATGAAGATAAACTGTCCTTCTCTAAAACTCAGCACATAAATAATTGGCTTACAACTTTAGAGGCTCAAAATCCTCAATGTGCCACACCTGCCTCTGATATTTTAAGTAAATCTAGTGTTTTGCCTTCACAGGAACATTTTAATAATAAAGAACAAAATCAGTCCACTTTAAGTAAAACCGTAGAAAGAGCCACAAGCACTACTAATAACTCAGTAGCTCTTGTATATAGTCCACCCATAGTACTAGATAAAAAAACTGAAAAAAACTCTGAAATTAGCACTATAAAGACAGATGATTTCACTTCTGGAGCACTTAACAGGGGAAAGCTATTAGTTCCTGAGACCCCAACATTTAAGTTCAATAAAGCCTGGCCCACTCCAAATTCTCAAACCCAGGAGGTGGCTACATTTCCAGACCAAGAGAAATATTCTCAGTTAACTCAACAAAACAGAACTTCTTTAGTTCCTACTTCATTTGTACCAATGAAAACACCTTTAGCCTTGCCATCTAACAGTCAGTCAGCAAGGCCATTAGCAAAGAACAATATACACATAAAAGAAATTAATCCAGTACAGTGTTCTGATAAGTTAGAGGAATTAAAAGATGTTATAGATGAAAACATAAAATATTTTAATTGTGAGGAAAAAGAGTTGCCTTTATTTTCTGACAGTTTTCAAGCTGCCCACACACCTCAAAATTGTGATTCAAAGGATAAAAAACAAAAAATAGCTGAAACATCTACATCATTGTGCAATGTAATTTCCAATTATGACTTACTTGATGAGCACAAGAAAATGAAGTACAACATTCATGAGAGAAATGGTGTGAAGTTTCTTAAAAGTATTTTAAAGAAAGAATCTAAGTATGAATGTGATTATTTTAAGGCACTATTTATAAAACAAGGCTTTAAATTCAGAAGTCAAAAAGCAGCAACTATCAGGGATAGTATTGAATTAACGAAGGAAAAAGAAAAAGGCATAGAAATCCTAAAGACTACTAAAAAACTGAGATGGTTTGATGAAACTGTCGACATAGAAAACAATGCTGAAGACACTCACTCCCTGAAGAATAGAACAGGAACGACTCAACAGTGGTCTCAACAATTGCATGTTAACAGTCGTGCTGGCAGCAACATAATTAGTGATTGTGCTATAAATTCTGCTGATAGAAAAAAGTCCATGGAGGTCTCTGAAAATGTCTCTACCTTAGGAGGCTCTGGAAAAGATCACGTGTCTTTGAACTGTTTTATACCTGCAGGTCATAACTTTACTAAGCAAGCTTGGCCAGTTTCCAAAGAAGAAAGTATAAGCCCTGTATATAACAGTGACTTGAAAGCTCAGAAAAGCAATCCACGGAGAGGTGGAGCAAAAGTGATTCGAAGAACAGGATCTGCAAAAATCCGATCAGGATTTATAGATAACAGAAAATACTGTGTCATTCAACCACAGTCTGCAAGCAAAACCAATGCCTTTATACAAGCTCAGGGTAAACTGACCATACCTCATCCTCCTCCTAAACCTGTGTCAAGTATTAGAAGTCGTAAAACTATTCAAGTGTCTCAGTGTCAAACAGTAATGCCTCAAAATTCTCAAAGCATTATTACACATGACTGTTTTAATTCAAAATATGTGCTTCCCACAGAACACAGTTTCAGTCAGTGGAATCAAGAAAGTAGCCCTCCATTCTCCGATGCTTGTTCTGACCTGGTCACTGTGATACCATCTTTACCATCTTACTATTCTTCCGAGTGCCAAACTTTAGCAAAAACAAATCATTCAAACAGTACTCAGGTGGTTGCCCAGCAAGATGGGACATTATATTGCACCCAGAGAACTCCTGTTTATCAAGAAAGTTATCAGTCTGTAAATCTTAAAACTGCTGAACAAGAACCTATCCCCATGTGGAAAAGAGGGAGTAATATCCTGCACCAAAATGAGCAGGCTGCTGGTAAGAATAAATTTATATCTCTGTATAGTTAAAGTGTACAGCTTTTTAAAATACACTTTGTTTTTCTCATTGAGGAATGGCAATGTATACTGTCTATATATTAATGTTAAATTACAATTTTATCATATAGAAATAATTTATTTTTCTTGACATAATTGCTGAAGTGTGTCCCAACCTGTGCTCAATTAAATTTAGAAATGTTTGCCAACCTCTATTTTTGTCCATGATTTTTTTTGTTATTTTAAAAGGAGAACAAGGAACAGGATCTAATTCTTGTCCCAAATTATTCTGTCATTACTATTGTCAAATTTTCTGTCAAGGTAAACACAATGGAAAAATACTGCTTCAGTTACCCTAAATCATTGAATAAATGTAATGACAGCATCTCCCTTCGTTTTTCTTGTAAATTACTACTGGTAATGGAATTGTTCTAAGCTGATAATAGATGTAACCTAGTCCTCCCATTCCTTTTTCCAAGAGTGTGGCAGCTCTGCTTTTACTTGTGTGTACTGGTTTTAACATACAGAAACACTGAAATATTTTGAAAATTTCTCTATAGAATGCCATTCTGTTTACTAGGTGATTGACTACTCATGAAACTACTTTCTTTCTTTGAGGGAATGGACTAGAAACCCCTAAATATTCCTACCAGTAGAAATCAGTTGTCTATTGAGAAATAGGACTGGGGTCAGAGTGAAGGAAAACAATAAAGAAACTTGTTTTTCCAAAGATATGAATAAGCATTAGCATATAAAAAGAGTGTTCCCTTAAAACTTGGTATTTAAAGTCTTTTTCGGGTGGACTCTAAATCAGTCTTAAAATACGTAGTTGACAAAACAGTGTACAGCTGAACTTTTCTCAAAATCAGAGACCTTTTTGGTCATTTCTCACTGTATCTATAAATCCTAGTAGAACTTGACACTCAATAGGCATCCAGACTTTTCTTAAATTGAATGAACACAAACCATACTTGTAAATGGAAAATCAGGTGCAAAGACTCTCATCTAAAATCTTCAGTGCTTGTCTACAAAGACTTAGGTTTTAAAAAAATTCTCTCACACAAACTTCTTTTTTATGCATTCATTGCACAGTATAATTTCAATTTTTATAGTACTTCCAAAATATGAAAGTTACACATATTAGCTATTCTACAATAAAAAATGCTTTTTTTTAGTTTGCTCCTACTCCCTGCCAAAGTACTTTACATTTTTATCTCATTTAAACCTTATAGTAACCCTGAGAATTACATTCTTTAAACACCATTCTGCAAAAAAAGAAACAAAATTACCCAAAGTTAAGAGCTAGTAAGTAGAGTTGGTATTTTAACCCAAATCTCTACAGCTCCAAGTTTTGTGCTTTATCTACTAAAACCACATAGCAAATGATTAATAAGCAAGTATCATATATCAGATTCTGAGCTAATCAGCAAAAATATTAGGGAGCTTTGTTTCCCATAGCCTATGTGTTAAAGGATAGTATATTAAAATTCTCTCATTCTCTAATAAAAGAATGTGATACGTATGTTTAACTGAAAAAAAAAAAACAGTATTTTCCTGGCATTTAATTAAAGGGTCTGGAAATTTAATGAATTAAAGCTATGTCTTTACTGAGATAGAAACATTTAAACATTTAAATTGTGTGTATGTCTTATGTCTTGCTATAGTGATTACACTTATAACATCTGACAGTACAACATCAAAATACTTAGTAGTCATTCAGGCTTTTTTTTTTCTAAAACTATTTAAATATCCAACATTTCGAGTGAATTCTTTGCTAAAACCAAATTGTAGTTCTGTGATCATTCATTCATTTGCTGCATTTTTCCCTACTCCTATTTGCCAGCTAATTTCTGTTGCCACACTCTTAAGTGTCTAGAGTTCACAGATGTAGAGAGAATCTTCTTATCAGCACTTCTAGAACTCTTTAGCAGCACTGTCTAGAAAAACTCCAGGCCATGAGGCCTGCCTGGGCCGTAACTGTTACCTGCTGATGTCTTGGCGTTTCCCCCAAAGATGACTTTGACATCTGGTTCACAGTTTTAATTTCTGTGTAGTCTTTGCTGTGACACTAAAGAATTCAACAGTCAGTGAGCAAACAGTCTTAACATGCTAACCCTTTTTTGTTTCAAGCCACTATCTATATACCATTCTGCCTCAGGTACCCATCCTGGGCCTTTTCAACATCCATAACCCCTCTTCTTCTACATTGGTAACTCAGTCATACTGTCCTCTCTGACTATACTTTACTGTATTCCTACTGTGACTTCTACCATTCTATCTCACTGAGAAGGTGATATTTTTGTCTCACTTTCTTGTACTAATTCATTAACTCTTTTCCAGTTTAGATGTAGTGGTCTATTGTTTCACTAATCCTTTTCCCAGTAACCTTAACTCCATGCCCCTTGGCACCAATTACGCAACTGTCTCTCCCCAGAAAAAAAGAAAATTTTTCCAGTTAATCTCTACCTGCTCCTAAATAGCACAGAGAATTCACATGATGTACTAGCTGTCTTGATTACATTGTAGATTCATTATCATCAACCTCTTAATATTTACCCTTATGAAATAATCTGGTTATTTCTCTGGAAAATTCACACTCTACACTCTATTCTTTGCAATAACTATTTCAAACGTTTATTCTCAGATGTACACTGTTTGGTCAACTAAGTATCTTAGGACTGAATTAGAGTATATAAGCTGGTTTAGAAGAATAAGTTTTGTGAAAAATGGGAACAGCTAGGGAAAAAACTTTTTGACTTAAGATAAAGCAATTGCTGGCTTATAAATCCTGAAGAGAATAATATGCCTGGAAACACTTAGCTTCCATGAAGCCCATAGTGCAAAAAGCAAATCAGTTTCTTGTAATGAAATAGCTATGGGCTTCCCATCTGAAAGTGAGCAAACACTGATCAATAGTAAGCATGGTTTTTGTAAAAATTGCCAAACTTGCACTGATAGCTATATGGAAATGCAAAGGCCAAGAATAGCTGAAACAATCTCAAAAGAATAAAGCTGTAACAGTTATGCAACTAGAAGTTAAAGTTACAATAATTAACACAATATGGTATTTGCACAAGGATATTTAAATCAATGGAATGGAATGGAATAGAATCTATAGACAGACCCACATTTAAATGCTTGGTTTTTGGCAAAGGTGGTAAAACAGCAGAAAAAAAAATGTTAAGATTTATCTTATCATTCATTGATTGGCTGAATATACATAATTAGCAAAAATGACTTTTACCTCTATACTACAAAACAAAATTGAATTCTAAGTAAACTGTACATCTAAATACAAGAAGTATAGTTTAATGCATGATAATGTCAAAGAGCTCATAACTAGAATACATAAAGAACAGTAAATAAGTAAAAAGAACTCAGTTTGTATCAATCAGAGTTATACAGGAGAAGCAATATCAGTAAAGAGATACTAAGAGATTTTTTGTAAGGGATTGGTTTATATGAATATGAGATCCATCTTGGAAAATCCAAAATTTATAGGATAGGCCATGAGGAAAGTAGGCTTCATGAGTCTACCCAGATTATCTAGATTAATTTCTCTACTTATAAAGAAACTGAATTTAATAATATCTACTAAATAGGTTACAGCAACATCTGCATTTGTATTTGATGGATCATGGCACTGTAGCCTAGTAACATCATAAAGACTTTTGCACCATTTTTTTTTTTTTTTTTGTCTTTTTCATTTTTATCGGTACCAGGGATCGAACTCACGACCGCCTGCTTGCAAGGCAGGTGCTTATGCCGCTGAGCTAAATCCCCAGCCCCCCTTTTGCACCATTTTTAAAAAAGAGAATTGGAAAAAGCTTTTTGTAAAAGAAAACAACCAAATTGTCAGTAAGCATATGTAAAATCTCAGCCTTGGTAATCAAGAAAATGCATATTTAAATGAGTTGTATATACATCAAAATAGCTAAAATTAATAGTAAACAATATTAAATGATGATGAAGTCTATCAACTAGAAATTATTGTACCTATTTACGTTATAAGCAAAGGCTTCAGAGCTGCTTTGAAATGTAAATCCGGATTCTTACTTGCTTTGCTACTGGGTATTTCTTTTTTAATAGAGGTCTCTGAATAGCTACAGATTTTTCAGTAAATACATGAAAAAGTAGTGCGTTGATCTATATAATTTCTAGATGGCATGAAGTAAAAAAGGAAGTCTGATGATAATAGTGATGGTAAGAGTGCCTGTAAGAATACAAAAATTATACATGCCAAATAAATACTAGCTAGTATTATTTCTTACTCCTAAAAATTAGATGTTCCAACTTTGTTTTATGCTATTATTATACCTCATATACACATATGTATAGACACTAGCTGGAGAGAGTATCAGTTAGATATAATATTCAGATCCACGTTCTCCAGTGTATACTTTTTTTGTTGTCTTTTTTGACACAGAGTTTCACTATGCAGTTCATTCTGGCCTTGAAGCTCACTTTGTAGCCCAGGCTGGTCTCAAACTCACAACGATCCTCCTGCCTCCGCTTCCCAAGAGCTGGGATTACAGGAGTGCGCCATTACACCTGGTTTCCAGTATATTCTTTAATGTTAGGGCTCAGTGGTTTTTTTTTCTTCTCTGAACTCCTGTTGTAAATCACGTACACACACTCCCTGTACTTTTCAAGATATTTGTGTGCTTACACAAATACCTCTTATTCTATGCCTCAAACCAAGTGATTTTTCCATCCCTCAGTCTCAAGAAACTTAACTATGCACGATCATAATTTTCTGCCTTTACACACTCTGTTTTCTGACTCAGATTGCCTTTTGACTTGGGAATTTACTACATCTTGCAAACCAAGCTCAAGCATAACTTTTTGGTGAAATCTATCTTGTTTCATTATTGTTTTTGTGATACTTGTCATTGAACCCAAGGCTTTGGGCATGCTAGGCAAGTGCGCTACCATCGAGCTACATCCCTAGTACTTTTTATTTCATTTTGAGACAGGGTCTCACCAAATTGCCTAGGTTAGCCTTGAGGTTAGCCTTGAATGTGTGCTCCTCCTATCTCAGCTTCCTGAATAAATAGAATTTCAGGCATACACAATCACAGCTAGCCCTTTCTTGATTCTTGCAGCTACTGTGTTCTCTTAAGATTTTTCTTAATACTGAATAATATCTATATACCTAATTTAAATATTCTGCTATCAGTTCATTTAACTTTAGATGAAGTAAAAGCTTTTAAAATAATTTTTAAGTTGTTGTAAATTTTCAAACACCAATTTCATGTATTAGTATATAAAATACTTTTGTTCTCAATTGTTATTAATAATGTTCTGAATGCTAGTAATGAAATGTCATCAGTTATAAGAATTCCACGTATCACTTGCCAATATCTCATGGCACAATGTATATTTAAGGTAAGATTTACTAGTTTTTTTGCATAATTTTTAAATTTATGACACTAACTTTGCTACATATACAGTTATAACTGTCACTATGTAGCAAGGCATTTAGATGTCATCTCTAGCATTTTTCTGTTCACCTATTAGTAGTATTATTGCTGTATAACAATGTTTTTAATTAAAGTCAGACAAAAAAACATTTAAGATAATAAACATCCATGTAGCCACCACACCTTAAATACAGCATACATCCAATGAAAGCCCTACAAAAGTGCATTCAGCCATGTTTCCATTTTTATGAGGACTTGCTGAGACACTATAAGGTATGTATAAATCCACCTACCTGAGTATACATAAATTTCGGTAAATTACAGAATGCTAAAAAGCATCAAGCCAGGCATAGTAGCAGGAAATTGTGATATCAGCTGTCTCAAGACTGAGGCTTGAGAATGTCAAGTTTGAGGCAAACCTTAGCAAGATTTTATATCCAAAAAACATTTTTTTAAAAAAGTTTTAAAAGGCCCACTGGGCATAGTCGCACATGCCGTAGTGCCACCACTTGGGAAGCCAAGGCAAGAGAATTTCTGTAACTTTAAGACTAGCCTGAGCTACCTAACAACTCCAAGGCTAATCTGAACTGCCTAACAAGACCCTAACTCCAAAATAGAAAGGCTGATAAGCAGCCCTGTGGCAGAGCACTTGGCAAGCATGCATGAGGCCCTAAATTCAATCCTCAGTGCCCAAAGGGAGAGAAACAAAAAGAGGAAGAAAACAAGGAAGGAGAAAAAAGAACAAAAGGATGGGAGGGAAAGGGTTGGAAAGGGAGACAGAAGGAAAAGGGGCCACCAATGAATGAAACCACTGCCAACCTGTTGCATTTGGGACTTTTCCTCCCTCAAAATAACGAAGTTTTACATACGCAGTATACAACAGTCTGGCTGGTAAACTACGTAACAAGAATGTCACTGACAAGCATGTATCAGTAAAGTTTTATTTCTAATTTCTAGATAGTATAAATTAGAATTCTAACACATTTCTTGCACACCAATGGCTTTTCTTCCTATCCTTCTGGTATTCCAGGACTATGACTTGGTGGTCAATCGATAAGCCAGGCAAAAGAGGAATTTTGTTGAATTCATCTTTGTAACTGCCATGTAATATAGGAGGAATGTAATAAGAGTTTGTTGACCATATGAATGAGAGCTTTCTGTGATAAAGATAACTTGAAAGTTTTCAGTGAATATGTTACCTGTTCAGCTTAAGTATTTGTGACCTTGTGCTGACATTTGCTTAAGATTCTACTGTTAGAAGAAAACGAATTGTTGCAAATAAGCAGAGAAGTCTTTCAGACCAGAAAAGAAAAATCCCTGGATCTAAAGCACAGAAGTACATTGAACAAACCAATGTAAGTACAGTACTAATAAAAATCTGTTAGAAAAATTTCTTGGAAAAACAGTGCACCTAGAAGTCTGTGCCCTTTCTTTAAACTATACCATGGTACAAATAATATTTAGTAGCCAGAGTCACCTGTGATGCACTCCTGGTATCTCATGATGAAAGTTTGTTTGCTGTATCCTAATTATTTGCTGTATCCTAATTCATCTATATGGTCAGTTACCAGTAAAGGATTTAAAACAACATTAGTAAATCACTGTTATTATTTTATTTGTTGTCATTTATAATCAACTCTGGAAAAAAATGAGACATTTCACAAAATTCAACAAATTATTTAAATAGGAGGAGGAGAGGGAAGGAATGAAGGAGAGAGGGAGACAGGGAGAGAGAGGAATGAGGCATTGAGGGAGGAAAGCAAACTGAGCTCAGCATAGTAAATAGGCAAATCATAAAGATGAATATAATTCTATATAACTGAATATCCTATTTGGAACTGAGCTTCCTGCAAGACTTGGTTAAAAAATTGAAGAAATTACATAGTTCTCAAGGAATATCAACAATGATGTTTGTGATACAATATTTTAAAAGATAATGAGGACCTTTTATAAGGAACCTTGAAATACATACTAAATATGTCTGTAATAACGGAATAATAAATTAATTAAGTTCATGAGACAGATCGTCAATAAGCATCAGAAGCATAACATTTTTTATTATGAAGGAAATTCTGTGTTAAGTAAATGTGATCTAAATATGACATTTTTAAGTGGTCCAGCTTTAAGGATTTACTTTAGAATGTCAGAAATACTAAAAGAATAAGTAAATAGCATTGTACTTGTAGTTTATGCCTTAAATATTATTTCTTCTGATTTCTTTAAATAGAACTGGAACAGGATGCCTTGTGGAAGAACTTACAATGTGCACTATAGGTTGAGATTCCTATCATTTGTATATTTTAGGAAGTATTAATTTTATGTGAATAAGATTTATATGGATAACAAGCAATCATATAATCTTGCCAGCCAAACAAAAATTAGTTATATGTTCATATGAATGTTAGTCTTATTACCAACATGTTCTTATTAATGATAAAAACTGTACTGATTTATAAACATAGTACTTAATTACAGTCATATCTTCCTGATTACAATAATGCCTCATAAACCTTTCCTTTTTAACTTTTGTATTGTTCCCACCAAAATCTCAAAATCCATAAAGACATATTTTACCTTTATTTTTCTACATTTTGTTAAGATATCTCAAATTTTAAAGTAATATGTAATTACTATAACAAAAAAATAGCTAAATTTTAAATGTGTGTTATTAGTGCCCTCTCCAAACTCATTTCCATTTTTGGGCTCCTTTGCATTCTGTCTCACTGTTTTTCAGCTCTATTTTTGCCCTTTCCAAAAAGCCTCTGTTCTGCTTTCATGTATACATCTTCCATTTACACATCTCCTCAAGTCTTGTTAACATTAGATCAATAAATCAGTATTCCTGAATCAAAATTATTTTGAAGTTTACATTTTTTATCCTTATTGTTTGCTTGGTGTTGTTTTTATTCCAGAGTTTAATTAAAAGTTTGGTTACTACAGCAGTGACCTTTATTACCTTGTAGCAGGCAATGCATTTTTTGCACTATATTTAGCCACCCCCATTGCTATATGGAAAGAATCTAAAACAGATAAATAAAAAAACAGAAAAAGCACAATTGCCTTTTTATGTTAGGGTTTCAGGCAAGAACTATACAATGAGCACTACTGCAAAAATTTAATCACTTACTGTTCAGATCAGATTAAACAAAAGCCACATACAGTACATAGTCATAGCCATGCAATTTTATCTGACAGCAAAATATCATTTTTTAAAGTAAAAAAAAATGGGAATAAAGAAGGAAGGAAGACCATATTCACAGGAGAGACTGGTATCTTTCAGATAGCATTGAGTACATGAGCGTATTGCCAATGTTCAAAATTTCCCTTTTTCTAAAGATTTTATGGAGATGGGAAGGTGATTTGGAGATGAGGATAGATGGGAGTGAATGAAAAAGGAAAGTAAAAGGGATCAAAGTGTGATACCTATATTTACCAATACCCCACAATGAATATATTTTATGTATTTACAAACATATACTAGTAAAAAAGTTTAATTTCCTTTTTCCAGATTCTGTGCAGTATTGGGACAGCTATTTCTGTTTTAAGTTTTTTTATCTAAGATACTTAACTGTGCTTGGTGTTAGTCATAGAGGCTATAGGCCAGTTGTTGTATTTCTGCCTTAAAAATAAACCTAGCCAGTTTTGGTAGATAAGTAAATAGGAAAATCACAAGCTTAAAACCCAACTGAGCAAGACCTGGTCTCAAAATAATAATAATGAGCTGGGCTTGTAACCTAGTATGAAGGCTCTGGGTTCATTCCCAAGATAAATCAACTAAGTTATAAACCTTAAGGTAAATTTTTACCTTTCCTTTAAAATAGTATATTGACCCTCAAATTTACTTTTACTCCTTCAAATATCCAATCCTACAACCTGAAATTTTTCAGTGGACATAAAATGTATTTTTAAATGTTCATATACCTTAGAAAGACCTTAACTCAGTAACTTTTGATATCTGTTACAAAAACAAAATGTTAATTAAATAGAGATAGCTTAGGTCCAGGAATGTAGCTCAGCGACCCCATGCCTGCCTAGCAAGCAAGAGGTTGTGAGCTCGATTTCCAGTATTGAAAAAAAAAAAAAAAACTAGCTTAAAAATATATACAGCTATTTCAAATTTCTGTAAAGCTCATGTATATATCATGACTTTTAAATGTAAAGTTATGTTCTGATTTCATATTCTATTTTTATAGAATTTTGGACAAAGCATCCAGTTAAATCCCTCTGAGCCAACACAAACTACAAGAAGTACTTCTAATACTGAAGAAGGTATGTTTTGGTTTAAATGTTTTCCTTGGAGCTTTGTTTCCAGTGATTTTTTTTCTTGTATGTATTTTTTCAGCTGCTTACAAATTGTGTGACTGCTAAACCATTATTTAGGGCCTGAAATATCTTTATCACTGCAGAGTGTGTTGCCAATTTTCCTGTATTTTAAATAGCAATATATTGAACAACTTTCTACATTGAGCTATTTCATGACTTATCACTTATTTCTGTAGGATAGATTTTCAAAATCAAAATTACAGTACTGGGCATACAGATGGCACTCAGTAAATATTCGTTGAATGAAACTCTTTATGTTAAATGAATACTAGATCAAAAGAAATAAGCAATGATGTGGATATTCATGCCTATTGCTAAGCTTTTTTCCTAAAAATGGTATTCAAAATCCTTTGAATCTGGGCCAGAAGTTTAGCTCAGTGGCTTAGCATCTGCTTGGCAAGTGTGAGGTCCTGAGTTCAATTGCCAGTACCCTCACCAAAAAAAAAATCAATTCTTTCAGCCATCTATGTCAATTTAAGGTACAATTCTTTCTACTATTTGCCTATATGAAGTCACAGAAATTTTGTTATATTTTTTAATATGTTTATTAATAATATGCATGATTGTTTTTGTGTGTATTTTTGGTGACTTGTCCCTTCATATTCTTTACCTAAATATTAGAGCTTTGACATTTTCTTAGTGATTTCTGAAAATTCTTGAACTATCAATAATTATATCTTTACATTGATTACAGGATTTTTTACTACTTTATTATTCCTGTTTATTCCACTTACATGATATTTTTACATATATGTTTTCACTTTTATTTGTTCATTCAGTAAGTGATTATTGGGAACTAATTTCCTGAATATAAGTAGATATTGGTTATCCAGTCATGAACACAACGTTTGAAAGTCTTGCCCTTTACAACTGTCAGACAAGACTGCCCTGGGGTGCCCTAACAAAAACATGTTTCAGTTGTAGTGATTTCTCCATTCATTTCACATTCAAAGAAACTTCCCAATCCAGAAATGCAGAAATCTTTTTTCCTCTAGGTTGCTTTAATAGTTTGATTTTTAAGATTAACTCTTTATTTGAAATTTGTTTAAATGAAAGATGGGAAGTGAAGCTCAAAATCAATCCCTTTACAAGCAATGAACAATTTATTGAATCATTCCTCCTTTCTTTCAAGTCTTTGATGCTCCTTTGAGCATATGTTCTTAATCCACTTGGTCTGTTTCTAGGCTGTTAGTTCTGTTCAGCTGATCATACGATTTTTTTTAACCTTTAAGTTCTTACTCTTTTATTTATAGCTTATTTTAACTATTATTAAAATACTCTCCATATTATCTTTGTGCCACCAATGAATACCAAAACGATACAAAAATTATATAAACATAATATAACTCTTTAAGAATTTTTTTACTTCACTTCCATCATTTTAGACTTTTTTAATTAAAGGTGGGAAATGCTAGATGTAGAAATCCTAATAAATAGAATGCTACTGCCTTTCCATTTGTGAAATGAATATATACAGATTGCTAAGTATGTATAAGGCTAATCCCAAAGAAAAACCGAGAGTGATTAAAATCTATGTAGTTTCAGATAGTACTTCTGAGTATCTGATGGCTGAAAATCTAGTGAAAGCTTCAGTGCCTGAGGATGAAATTCTAACTCTCCTGAATAACAAGCAGCCACAGAAATCAAATCCAGCTTTAAATAAAATCCAGCAGTTCAACATCTGTGCACTATCAGCTGAAGAACAGAGAATTCTCCAGTCCCTAGACCATCTCAATGAAAGGCTACACTGTAAGTGTAGAAGAACATCTTCAATGATAAGTGTGGTATTTTGTAGTTAAACTCTTTAAAATTGAAAATAAAGTGCAAAATTATATGTATTATCACTTACTGGAATATATAACAACTGAGAAATACATGAGTATTTAATACTTTTTCAAGTTTATAGCATCATATGATGATGTCTGTGATACCAATTTCTGTGGCAGGCCTTACTATCTTTTACGAATATATGAAAATATTCATTCTAGTTCAGTAATGGACAAGCTAGGTATCTATAATGATGATCCTTGAAAGCAATTATAATATAATTAAGTATTGAAAACCAAAATAAAGTAATGAGCTACTAAGGATACAAGTAGTTCTTCATACTAAGAATTGTAAGTATAAATAAAAACTCAGGAAGATAACAAAAATGCCGTAGCTAGCTTTTATCCTAATAAATTTAACACATAAAAAAATTTTTTTTTGTCTTTTTTGAGATGGGGTCTCACTATGCAGTTCAGGCTGGCCTTGAGTTCACTTTGTAGCCCAGGCTGGTCTCGAACTCGCAATGATCCTCCCACCTTGCCTCCCGAGTGCTGGGATTATAGGCGTGAGCCAGCCACACCCGGCTATAAAATTTTTTAAAAAGAGAACTAGGAGACAAAACTCAGGACCTAACTCTAAATACGCAGTCTCATAGAATATTCTTCAGCCATAAAGCTGAGCCATCCAATACACATAACACACACATTCACAGAAAAGGAGGGACAAAAAAACTACATTTGTTGAATTTAAGTATTGAATAGGTTGAGGATATGGGCAATGCTGATAATTTGAAACCACAGTCTACTATAAATATTACATTGATTCACAGACCATAATCATATACCTGAATGGGTAGAGCCCAAAGCAACTAATTTAACTTACAATGATTTAAAATTTACAATGACCCAAAATACCTGAAAATAGTAAGTTTATGTTCTTTCTGGAGAAACCTATTGGTATTACAGTCTTCAAAGAATTATCACAAATTAAATTTGAAGAAAGCTACCCACAATTAAACAAAAATAAAAATAAGAAAATAAGAATTCAGGACCAGGGATTTAGCTCAGTGACATAAACACCTGCCTGGCAAGCATGAGGTCATGGGTTTGATCCCAGGTACAAAAAAAAATGAGAGAGGGAAAGAAAATAATTCATAAAGAAAAGTTTTCCATTTAAAAATCCATCAGTGTGGTTGCTATTAGTGGGTTTTCACTATAAACCAATATCCAGATTACCTTTGTGATGTTAACAACACTAAAGTATATTTCCAGAGAACCCGGTATTATACCGATTACATTGCATCCTCCTTTCCTAAATTAATTGAGATGGTCAGATCTTGGGTCACAGTGAAAGGACTATAGTTATCCATGTACAAAGTACATCACTGAAAAGTGACAGGGTAAAAAGATCTCTCTGCCAACAACAAAGTCTTTACAAGCATCCACAAATCTCAGCACCAAACAAAATAAGACAAATTAAAAAATAAAACATGAAAAGGTAAGAAAAAAATGCCTCCAAAAACCTCCAAAGCTAATCCAGAGGGCATCAAAGGGGAAAACAGCATAAGCTACATACCCAAATTATATGAAAGGATAACAGAGGAGGTTAAAAACAGATCAAAGAGGTACTCAGTGGGATTACAGAAGACACAAACACATGAAGATTGAACAATTCACTTATGAAAAATGAATACATCATTGAAGAAATCAGAGGAGAAATTTAAAAAAATAAAAAGACAATAAAATATATCAGAATTTCTGGGACATGCCAAAGGCAGTTCTAAGACAAACGTTTATAGCTATGAGTGCCTACATCAAAAAATCAAAAGAGATCTCAAATAAAAAATCAAGAGGACATCAAAAATCTAAGGAGATCAATAGCAAGCAATTAGATTGAAGTAATAATGAAGTTTCTCAACAAAGCAAAGCCAATAACCTGAGGGGTTCACTGCTGAATTTTACTAGACCTTTAAAGAATAAACACCCATGTTTGACAAACTATTCCTTAAAGCAGAAAGGAAAAAAATGCTTCCAAACTCATTCCATGCAGCCAACATCACCTTGATATCAAAATACAAGGGCACAAATAAGAAAACTATGGACCAATATCCTTGATAAACATAGGTGCAAAAATCCTTAATAAAATACTTTCAAACCAAATTCAAGAATATATTGAAGCTTCCCATGAGCCTTAGGCAGCCACATGGGACCCAGGAGGAGAAAAAAGAAGCCAATTCAGCCTTCACATGAGCCAGCTGGCCTACAATATGGGCTGGGAGACAAGAACATGCCCCCTTCTTCCCCCTCCATAAGCAGCCAGATAATTTGGAAGAACACAGGCTGAGTTGACAACAATTGGGTACAAAAACAACTCAATGCTTACATTGTTTGATTGACTTTGTAGGCCTAAAGCCAGTAGTCTGAGCATCTAGTTAGAGGATAACAGTATGCAGTAGTAACTATAGGGATTTCCTTCTGTCTTGTTTTTGAGATCCAATATTGTTTTGCCTTGGTTTGTTCTGTTTTATTCTTTTGTTTTATTCAGTATTCTGTCTTGGTTGGTTTTATTCTGTTTTGTTTGATTTTATTATGTCTGATAGTCTGGGCAGCACTTTTGAAGACAAGAGGCATTATAATAGCTATTGCTGATTTCCTGTTTTAAAGTCCTGTTTCATTTTCACTGTTTTAATTGACTTTGTTTTATTTTGTTTCATTCTCTTTAAAATAACATTTTTTGGGGGCTGGGGATTTAGCTCAGCGGCATAAGCAACTGCCTTGCAAGTAGGTGGTCGTGAGTTCGATCCCCGGTACTGATAAAAAAATAAGTAATTAAATACAAATTTTTTAAAAAAACATTTTTTAAAAAAGAATACATTGAAAAGATCATAGACAGTGATCAAATTGGCTTAAGTCCAGTAATGCAAAGATGGCTCAACATACATAAATATAATAAACCACATAAATAGAATAAGGATAAATATCACACAATTACTGAAATTGACACAAAAATTTTGAAAAAATACAATATACTTTCATGATTAAAAGCCCTGAAGGAACTAGATATTGAAGAATTATTTCTCAAAATAGTAAAGTCCGTATAAAACAAACCCCCAGCCAACATCATGCTCAATGTGGAAAATTGAAAGCATTTCCTCTAAAATCAGAAACAGGCAGTCATCCATTCTCATTCCTGTTTAATGTAGTTCTTGAAATTTTAGTTAGAGCAATTAGGCAAGGGAAAGCAATAAAAGAAAGAATTCAAATTACCCTTGTTTGCAGATCCTATACTTTAATGACCCTAAAGATTCTACCAAAAGACCTTTATAACAAATTCAGCAAAGTAGGATATAAAGTCAACACAAAAAGTCAGTACCTTTTCTGTACATCAGTAATGGACTAGCTGAGAAATCAAGGAAATAATTTTATTGACAATAACTTCCCAAAAAATAAAATACCTATGGATGAATTAATTCAACCTAGGAAGTGAAAGACCTCTACAATTCTAGAACATTGAAAAAAGAAATTGAAGAAGACCTTACAAGATGGAAAAATCTCCCATATTCATGGATCAGCAGAGTTAGTATTGTTAAGGGGCCATAGTACCAAAAGCAATCTGCAAACTCTCATCCAAATACCAATCACAGTCTTTACAGAGCTAGAAGAAAATCCTAAGATTCATTCAGAAACATAAAAGACTGAGAATAGACTGAGCAATAATATATCAACAGGAAAATGCTGGAGACATCACAATATCCAATTTCAAATTATACTGCAAAGCCATAGCAACAAAAACAGCATTGTACTGATATAAAAATAGACAAATTGAACAATGGAACCAAATAGACAACATTGACTCATGCAACTACAGTCATTTGGTTCTGGACAAAGAACCAAAAATATATTTTGGAGAAAACAGCCTCTGTAAAAACTGGTACTGAAAAAACTAGGTATCTAGTTTTATATCTAAAATATATATCCCTCAACATATATGAAAATAATTTCAAAATAGATCAAGCACCTTCGGTATAAGATCCATAACTTTGAAGCTGCTAAAAGAAACTAGGGAAGTCATAGGCCCAGACAAAGACTTCTTGAATAGAACTCAAATAGCACAGGAACTAATAGAATTAACATATAGTACTACATCAAATTAAAAGATTCTGCACAGCAAGGAAACAACCAACAGAATAAAAACAAAAGAATGGAAGAAATTCTTTTCCAGCTACTCTTCCAACTGAGCATTAATATTTAGAATATATATAAAGAATTCAAAAAAAGAAAAAAATCAAATAGCCTAATCAATAATGAGAAAAAATATAGAATAGACACTACTCAAAAGAAGTACAAATGGTCAGTATGTACATTTGAAAATGTTCAACATTTTTAGGCATTAAGGTAAATGCAAATCAGAACTGAGTTGAGATTCAAATGTCATCGCAGTCAGAATGGTTACCATCAAGAGCACAAAAAATAAAGAATGTTAAAGAGGTTGCTGAGATGGGAGGAGAAGAAGCTATTTACACTGCTGGTGGGATTGTAAATTAGTACGACTACTGTGGAAATCAGTATCAAAGTTCCTCAAAACACCAAAGATAGAGCTACTATTTTATGTAGCTATCCCTCTTCCTGGTGTATATCCAGAGGAATTAAAGTCAGCATACCATGATACTTGTCTCTTTGAATCTGGCTTATTTCATTCAACATGACAATATCTAGACCCACTTATTTGCCTGAAAATGAAAAAATTTTGTTCTTTTTTTTAAAAAATGAATAGTATTTCACTGAGTCTGTTTACTGTACCACATCTTCTTTACGTAGTCATCTCTTGATGGGAACCTAGATTGGTTCCATATTTTGAGTATTGAATTTTGTGCTGCAATAAACATGAATATACTGGTACAATCACAAAAGCGATACAGAAGTGTAAGTTTAAGATGTGAAATGATACAGATAATAAGTTCAATACTTCAGAGGAATTTTTATTTGTTAGGTATTTCTGTATATTTAAATGTTTCACATAACAAATTCTGCCTGATTTTTCTTTTTTTTTCTGATTTTTCTTTTGATTCTCCCTACTGTACAGACAAAACCATAATTATCAAAAAGGCAAGTATTAGCTAAATTACTCAAATATTGTGCCTCAATAGCCAAATATCTACTTTCTCTTGAAAGGTTCCAAGGATAAATGATAACTTGGTTTTTAAAAAAATTAAAACAAGGAACAAAAACATTTGAATAGAGTTTATAGTATAATATTCAAAATACTAGGAATTCCTTTTATAAATTTTTTGTAATTGTAATGCAGTGACATGTTTTATATTAATAAACTGTTTCTAGAATTAATAGAAAAAATCTTACTCAATTTTTAATATTTTAAAAAGTCAAAGTATTTTATTCTATAATTCTTCTCTCTCAGTATACATAACTGAATTATGTTTGTATTATTTTTCAGATGTACAAGAAACCATTTGCAAAAATCCATCCATTAAAAATATGTTACAAATAATACCACTTCTGGTAAGTTTTTGAAGCAGCTCTCTTTTCTTCTTTTAGGAAACATGATTTCATGTATACCTCATTAGAAGTAAAAACCCTTTGTTGCTAACAGTTTTTCTTGAGATTGGTTATTAAAGCTATTTTTTCTCCTATAATTTTTATCCAAAAATGTTTCATTACAATCAAATAAATATCTTCACATTAAAAATACCAAAATACAAGAATTTTTACATTGCATCTAAAGTGTTTTATCAGTTGTGACAGAAGACACCAATCATCAAATAATTTTATGTATGCAGTCTATTAGAAATTGAAAATTGTAATGATCTATTCCTTTTCCTGCATATCTTCTATGTCTTGAGATTCAAAACTAAACATTACCATTTTATTCTTTGGTGGTGGGGGTTGGGTGCTGAATTGTAGTAGATACCATGTAAATTAAAAACCAGTCCCTGCATTCAAGAATTTTCAGTGTAACAGAGAGTAAGGTATCTATATGGGGAGCAGATAAAAACAATGTAATGCTTAATAAGACTGTGTGAGGTACAAACCATACTAACCCCAGAAGGAAAAAAATCTTACCTGACTTGAGTTAACAGAAGACATATTCAGGTTTCATAATTAATAATAATAAACTGCACCAGGAGCCAAACATGCTTGAGTTGAATCCCAGTGCACAGGGAAGCTTTGGAACATAGCTCCCAGGTGGTAAGATCATGCCCAACATCCCAAATCACTGGAGGATGCACAGAAGGCCACCAAGAGCCATGCCCAGTGACCTCCTTGCAGCTAGCAGAGGCCTGAATTCAGGCCCACAAGCCGAACATGCGCAAGTTGAATCACGGCACACAGGGAAGCTTTGGAATGTCACTCCCAGGTGGTAAGACAGACCATGCCCAGCATCCCAAATCACCAGAGGACACACAGGAGGTCCATATGGGCCTAAGTAGGCCATACCCAGCAAACTCCAAGCAGCTAACAGGGGCCTAAATTCAGTCCCAGGAGCCAAACATGCAGGAGTTGAATCCCAGCACACAGGGAAATTTTGGAACATTGCTCCCAGGCTGTAAGACCATGCCCAGCATCCCAAATCACAGGAGGACACAAGGGAGGTCCCTGTGGGCCTAACTGGGCCATGCCCAGTGACCTCTAAGCAGCTAGCAGTGGCCTGCAGTCTGCCCCAGGAACCAAAAGTGGGCCAGGTGATTCCTAGAGCATGGGGGAAGCTTTGGAACATTGCTCGAAAACCAGAAAATAGGAAAATGACAAAATGAAAGAACAAAATGCAATCTCAAACTACCAGCCCAACCCAAGCAAGCCTAGGAGACATAGACACAGAAGAAAATGTAAGCCATACACCTGAAATGATAACAACTGAAATAAAGAAACAACTCTGGGAAGCTATAAAAGAACTCAGAAATAGTATCCCAGGAAAAAGAAGAAATGATAAATGTAATGAAAGAAATGCTGAACACATCTAAAGAAGACACAGTTAAAAAATTAGAGGAAGAATGCAAAAAGATGGAAACCCTGAATGAATAATATAAGAAACAAACAGCATGCATGAAGCAGATTCAGAGAGATATACAGGAAATCAAAAATTCTATCAAAAGTTGGCAAAACCACCTCAATGAAAGTGAAGATAGAATTTCAGACCTTGAAGACAAGATTGCAGCTAGTGAACAGAAAATGAAAGATCTTTTAAAAATAACAAGGAATAACAATGATCTTTTAAAAATAACAAGGAATCAGGAAATAACAATTCAACAGCTGCAAGATGATGCAAAGAAAAACAACATAAAGATTGATAGGTATAAACATAAAAGAAGGTGATAACACACACAATGTCAAGAGGCTATTTACAGAAGTAATAGCTGAAAGTTTCTCAAACATGAGAATGGAAACTGACATACAGATCAGTGAAGAATATAAACTCCAAATAACCGTAACCAAAATAAAATTACAATCAGACATAATAATCAACATCCCAGAAATCCAACATAAGAATATTAAAAGCTGCTACAAAGAAGAAACAGATCACCTATAAAGGAAAGCCTATCAGAATCACAGCAGATTTCTTAATACAAACAATGAAGTCAAGAAGAGCATGGAGTGAAGTATTTCAGGTCCTAAAGGAAAATGACTTCCAACCCAGACTAATGTACCCTGAAATTATGTCCTTCAGAATAGATGGAGAAATAGTGCCCTGAAATTATGTCCTTCAGAATAGATGGAGAAATAAGATATTTTCACAACAAAGAGTACCTGAAGAACTTCATAACTACCAACCAACTCTGCAAAGAATACTGAAAGACATTCAAGATAGACATAGGAAAAAACCACTAAGTAAGGCAAACACTTAAACAGAGTGGAAAGGTAAAGAATCAATAGCAGAAAGGTAACATGTCAAAAGTAAGTATCAGTTACAGAAATTGGAATAGATGAGCTTTATATCAGTATGATAAAAGCCATCTATGGCAAACCAACAGCCAGCATCATATTAAATGGTCAAAAACTGAAAGCTTTTACCCTAAAATCAGGAACAAGACAAGAATGTATATTATTGCCTCTCCTTTTCAATATAGGGCTGGAAATACTAGCCAGAGCAATTAAACAAGACAGAAATAAAAGGAGTAAGGATAGGAAAAGAAGTTAAATTATCATTATTTGCAGATGACATGATACTCTACATAGAAGACCCCCAAAACTCCATTGAAAGATTTCTAGATATAGTAAATTAATTTAGTAATGTAGGTGGATACAAAGTCAACACTCAAAAATCAATAGCATTCCTATACACTTAACAAAATCACTTAGAGACAAATAAGAGAAGCCACATCCTTCACAATACCATTCAAAAAAATAAAATACTTAGGAATCAATCTAACAAAAGAAATAAAAGATCTATTCAAGGAAAATTATAATACCCTGAAAAAAGAAATTGAAGAGGACCTCAGAAAATGGAAAGACATCCTTTGTTCATGGATATGAAGAGCAAACATTGTGAAAATGACCATTCTTCCAAAATTCTTATGCAGATTTAATGCAATCCCACTCAAAATGCCATTAGCATGCCTCATAGATCTAGAGAAATCACTCCTAAAATGGATCTGGAATCAGAAGAGACCTAGAATAGCAAAGGCAATTCTAAGCAACAAAGGCAAAGCAGGAGGCATCACAATCCCCAACTTGAAGTTATAATACAAAACTACTGTAATAAAATCAGCATGGTACTGGAATAAAAACAGACCTGAAGATCAATGGAATAGATTAGAAGATACAACCACAGCTACAAACACACTCAACGACCTTAACTTTGATAAAGGGGCCAAACATGTCCACTGGAAGAAAGACACACTTCAAAAATGCTGCTGGAAAAATTGGCTCTCCATATGCCAAAAACTAAAACTAGACCCATGCCTATCACCGTATATTAAACTAAAGTCTAAATGGATCGAAGATCTAAATATTAAAACAGAAACACTAAATCTGTTGGAAGACAGAGTAGATAGAAGTCTTGAAGACATAGAGGTAGGTAGAGAATTCATGAACAAGACTCAAACTGCACGTGAAATACTCCATAGAATCAATAACTGGGATCACATCTTAATAAAGAGTTACTGCATGTTGAAAGAAATCTCCAGCATAGTGAAAAGAAAACCCAAAAATTGGAAAAATCTTAGTGAATGGTCCCTCAAAGGACTTCTGTCTAGAACTATAAAAAATTTTTTTAAAAATCAGTTCCCCAAAATTCAAAGACCCAATCCAAAAATGGACATCTGAGATGAATACACAATTCTCAAATGAAGAAATACAACTGGCAAATAAATACATGAAAAAATTTTCAGCATCATTGGTCATTAGATAAATGAAAATTAAAGCCACACTGAGATCCCATCTCACTCCAGAAAGAATGGCCCGGATCAAGAAAACTACCAATAACAAATGCTTGGGAGGCTGCGGTGAAAAAGGAACTCTCCCTGCACTGTTGGTGGGAGTGCAGACTGAATAAATACAATAAAGGCTAAGAATCTGCTTAAAGGGGAAAAAATATCATCTCAGGGAAAATGAGGGGAAAAAAGGAAGGGAAAATAATACCTAAAGTTATGTAAACACACAGTATAGCTAAGATGATTGTGCTACAAATTCTATAAGTTCTTGGAACAAAATAGTTAACATTCTTAGGATTGGAACCATTGTTCATATTATTGCATGGTGATCTGAGGAACTCTTGAAAATCATTATGTAAAATAACAACCCCAGTTATGCTCCTACCACCTTGTTTTGAAGGCCTATATTGTCAGTCTTTGGGGCTGTTTGCTATTTATATATTTGTCTTTTTTGTTTCTTTTCTAGGAATTTGTTTTGTTTTGATTTGTTTTTCCAATATAGAAATGATAGGTACACATGTAGAGACTCATACATGCATAGACTTCTCCTAAACAGTTTATGAGAATCAATTATATAATGCATGATGAAATAAACAGCTACTTTGAAGAAAAAGAGATACTAAGGTACCCAGTGCTGATTCCATAGTATCATGCTGTGAAATCCAGCAATACTATCATTCTTTGTTCAGAGTGATTTATTCTGTTTTGTATTGTTTAATTTCAACATACATAAAGGTATAGACAGCTATTTTCAAGAGAATGAGAGACATTATGGCAGCCATTGTTGACTTCCCTATTGTCTGGTTTTGAAGGCCTAAAATGCCTTCATCATTCTGTTCTGATCAGTCTAATACCATTTTGTTTTGTATGAATTCATTGTGTGTGAAGAAGATATGGACAACTATTTAGAAGAAAACAAGAGACAATATGATAGATGGTGAAGATCATCTGTTGTCTTGCTTTGAAATCTGTGTCTCTTATATTGTTTTATTCTGATCTGTTTTGTTATGTTTAATTTTTCCCTCTTTAAAATAAAATTTAAAAATAATAATAAACTGTAACATCCTCCCACCCCTTCACTAGATACTCATAGTTACCCTAATAATAATAGCATTTATCCTATAGAGTACCTAAGAGTATTATGCAAGATTACCATTCCTGTAAAGCAGTTAAAATAGTACATGTAACATAGTACATGCTGATGTATGCTTTGTTAGATTATTAACACAATTCTGATTCTCTTATTTAATTTTCTCTCAAAAATGTAATATTCCTGAAAGCACTTCAGTGAAATTTAGGTATGTGGAATTTATACTTAAGTATTTAAAAAATTACTTAAATGAAAGTATAACTTTCTCTTCTAAAAATTAGGAATCATTTTAGCCACTTTCCAATTCCAGCTGACAATGTGTAAAATATTATTCATCAAATTTACAATGTTCTGTTCTGCCTGTTTTTCTAAAGATTCCTAAGTTCAATTCCTGACTGTACTTTAGTATTTTAGTGACTTTTTGCTTTGTTTCCAAATTCAACTCATCTAAGTGTCAATTTAATATCACTTCCTTTTTGAAGTCTTCCCTGACAAATTCACTTTGTAATGTCCTATCCTCCTATAAACTTAGTATTATAGCATCTCACATTTTGTATATATAGTACACAGATATTTTTGTCAGTTGTCTTCCTAAGTAAAAAATCTTTCTCAGAACCATATTTGTGGGCCAAAATTGTTTCTCACATATCTGTATTATAGAAACTAGCACATATTAAATATATAAAAAATTGATTGGCTTATGATTTTTTTCATTTTTTTAAGACAGGGCTTCTAACTTGCAGTCTTTCTGCCTTGGCCTCCCAAGTGCTGGGATTATAAGCATGTGCCATTATGCCCTCTAGCTGACATTTTTATATATGAGCTTTGAATAGTAAATTATCTACCTTCTTCATAAGTAGTAAAATGCAATAATTTACTTGAAGCTGAAATTCTAATATTCTAAAACAGGATTTTTGCTTCATAAAAATAACACTTTCTGTTACACTTCCAAAGCCCTTTTTAGTGTTAATATTTAATAAATTAGTAAAATTTAATGGCAAATAGACATTGTTGAGATATAACTAGAAAGAAGAAATGAAATTTATTCCCTGAATGTACACCAGTGACTAGTACTATACCAGATGGTCTCTCTTGTGTTCTCTTAGTTAGTCTTCTTAGCTAAGACCATCAAATACTTTTCCCTAGCTCTTAGAGCTATTCATTGGCAGAGTCAAGATGTATACTTTCCCCTTCACCCACAAAATCTGTCCAATTTTTATCTCAATTAATGTCACCATCTTCCTCAAATTTCACAGAAATAGCTAATCATGCTTAATATTGTCCCATAGAAATACAGAATAAATTTCCCTTATTGTGTTTACTAAATACATCTCAAATCCATCCACTCCTCTCCATTCTTACTGATAGTGTTGTACTTAATGAATTTATCATTTTCCCAATGGTCTGTTACATATTTTATGAATAACTAAAAGAAAAGGCTCCAAACACAAAGTACTGATGAGAAGGTGGAAATGTTAATTACCCTGATTTGATCAGTGTGTGCTGTATATATGTGTTAAAATAATATATAACATGTACAATCATTATGTTATGAAAGTTCAAAGACAGTTGGAGTGCAGTTCAAGAGTAGTGCTTATCTTGTATGTGAAGGCCACCACAAAGTAAAAAAAGTAGTTCAAGGATGGAAATTCTGACTACCCTGGTTTGTGGATTACAAATGGTACACATGTATTGAATTACTGCTCTGTACCTCATAAATATTAATTACATAAATTTAATTACAATAATAATCATCGATCTGGGGATGTAACACAGTGGTACAGCACTTGCCTAAAATATATGAGGGCTCTTGACTTTAAAACAATGATGATGATAATCATCATCATTATTTTAATTTTCTGATTTGTTGTGTTTCTCCTAGACCATTACAACTCCCTCCAGGTTTTCTTTCTCCAACACATTTTCCACATCTCTATCATCAGAATTTCCAAATAAAATATGAGTATATTATTTTTCTCCTTAAAACTCATCTTCAGTGGTTAGCTGTCACCTAAAAGATAAAGTTAAAACTCCAGAGAGAAGCCTTTGAGCCCTGTGCAGTCTCCTCCAGTTGCTCCCCGTCCCCTAACTTACTATCATATTGAGAGGTTGACATTGTGATTGGCCCACAGTGTTCCCGTTAGCTCCCAAGATTTATTCTTTTGTCTCCTTTCCAATGCTTACTCTGCAGGATTTGATCTCTGTCATCCATCTGGGAAATCTTTTCATTCTAAGCTTTTTTCTGCCCAAAATTTACAATTTCTTGCTTTTGGCAACCATGCAGCCTGACTGTCATGTTGCAGAAGTTACTGCATTGGTCTCTTTATTCACTGAACAGACACTGACTATATTCTTCCTACCCATCAGGTACTCTGCTGGGTTGCATCTAGAAAGTGGAGAAAGTAGATTGCATGCTCCTACAGGTGACGTGCAAATAAAACAGAAAATAGAGTTGCTGCAGGGCAATTTCCAGATCCAACCATTGTTTAGATTCTAATTTCCAATACCAAAAGTTACAAATCTTAGAAGACTTTTCATTTTAGAATGTTGTATTTATTTAAAATAAAGTAAACTTAACAAACTTCTAACAATTACCTTCCAAGAAACTTACCTCTTTAGTCCAAAATATTGTTAAACACCCATAGGGTCTTACACAAGTGCTTCCTATACAAAACAAAATTATTAAACTTTCTGTCGTAATAGATGATTATCTTCTAAACAAAGGTTACCAATAGCAAAAAGTGAAGATGATGAATTATTATAATTAATATGATTCCTTACATAGAATGGTAGTTTTGTTGAGATTGATGTATGTGTATCATTAAAGAATATGAATTTAGTCTTATTAACATCTATAATCTGTAAGATGGCTCACCTGTTAAAAGTCCGTGAATACCATAGTAAAAGGATATTCTGAACCTGTGTTACAGAGCAGCCGCCCAAAGGCAAGTCCATCTCCTGATGTTGGACCCAGATTGCAAAGAAAATTCTGATGAAGTATGATGGCAGCTATTTTAGTGAATCACTATTTCTGATTATCTCCTGTGCATAAATAGTATATTTCTTCATTTATTAATTATTTAAAATACTATAACCATAAAAATAAATAATATAAGTAATGGAAATAAATTAGCTAGTTTATATTTGTGCTACAAATCATTACTATTATGTATTTTATTGATAAATACATTTTAATTGATAGAAATACTTCATTATTTTCAGCATGCATGTTACTGGATATAAAGTCATTATATTTAAAAATAAGACTATTTTGCTGTTCAAATTATGTATTAACTGTAATTTAAAGCTTTGTTTTCTGAAATTCCTAATAAATTCTATTAAATTTGTACAATGTTATAAAATATGTATGGTCAATAACATCTTCATAAGCAATACAGCTGTCTCTTTTAAGACTTTGCAGGTTCTCTTATCACCCAGGGGGTTTCATTATCAGCTCTACATGTTTGAAAGTTAATGTTATCACTTTATACTGAAGTAATTAGTCTCTAAAAACTCACCACAATTAAAAAATTCAAAGGGATCAAAAAAAGTAAATATAAACTGTAATCCCACTTGGATAACTTGGTTCCTATCAGTATATTTTTTTTCCAATAGGACTACCTTCTTGGGAAACCAGATTTATATTAGAAATTGGCCTTTTTTTCTTTTTTTCTTCTTTTGAGGCAGGGTCTCACTATGTAGTTCAGGCTGCCCCAGGCTAACCTGGAACTCTCGGCAGTCCTCCTGCCCAGCCTCCCAAGTGCTAGGATTACATGCATGCACCACCATACCCAGCTAAAAGTTGGCCTTTTAAAGTATGGAAGCAAGACCAAAGTTGAATGATCTTAATTATTTCATAAAATTATGATAGCCTTTAGTTTCCCTCAACTATTTCTTTTTTAGGCTGTCACCTAGATTTCAAGCAACCTCTCTTCCAAATCAGTCACATAATCCCATTTTAAAACTCTTCTCTTCCATTGTTAGAGAAAATCTTCAGTCCTTAGCAAGGAATATAAGGGGCTTCATATTCTGGGCCCTCCCAACATGCCTAAGGTGTTCCTTACCACATTCTGACCATCCCAGTCTCACCGAACTACTTACTATAGGGGAGTGGGGATGTGGCTCAGTGGTACGGTGCCTGCACAAGGCCTTGGTCTAGTCCCCAGCACTGAAAACAAAACCAAAAAAGTATATCCATTTCATACCTCATTACCTGTGCATGTGCTATACTTTCAGTTTAGAATCACCTCCCTTCCTGCCCTACTTTTATCTGTTAAATTCTCTTCAGGTTGAACTGTCTCCATTTTTTTGTAATAATTCTACTGTCTCAACAAATCATATCCTTAGTAGCTGAACTGAACTTATTTGTTCACATATATGCTCCTTTCCTAGAACAAGTAGAGACTGTCATTCAATGATTTTAGAAATTAAAATAAGGTACATAATGGCAGAAAAAAATAATGATTAATGAAGAAAATAATCATTGAATTAACCAAATTTTTCCATGTGGTAGGCACAACTGTGTAACAGATATAAAAGAAGATAGAACAAGTTCATTGCTATCATGTAGTTTATATTTTAGTTGAGAAGACATTTTAAAATATACCGTCAAGTAGCTATAAGTGAAAATTAGAGAATGGTACAGGGTAGAGTGTTAAGCACTATTTTAGATACAAAAGTTTAAAATAATCAGAAAACATCTCCGAAGGTGTATCTCCCTTTTCTCTCCCTCCTTCCTGGCTCCCATGGGATGAGTAGCTGTCCTTCCACGGTGCCCTTTGGCCTTGCAGCCAACTGACTATCAACTGAATCCTCTAAGAACTGTGAACCAGCCCTGGGTATTTTGTCTCAGAAATGAGAAAATGGCTGTGACAGCCAGGGTTGAAACATGCTGATGACATGTTTATTCATGGAGCATTATGTAATTATTGTCACAACTTTTACAAAAGAGTGGATTTTGGTTGGCATTTTCTTCTTCCATGAAAATCATACATGAGTACTACTCAACCATAAACAAAGATAAATTTGAGACATTTGTTGAAAAATGGATGCCCCTTGTGATCATAGTATAAGTGAACTAAACCAGGCATGTAAGTTTAAATGGTTATATAAAGAACAAAATAAGAGATAGATAATAGGAAACAGTGAGATCTTTCACAAAAGAAGACCAAGAGATGGAGGGGGAGGGAAGATGTGTTATATACATGTATCATCTCCTCAGAGGAAAGTAATCATTGTGCACTATGGACATATACTAATCAAAACATTAAAACTGAAGAAAGAAAAAAAACTAGTTGTTGCAAGCAAGCAAGCAAGATCCACAATTGCAAAGGGAGAAAAAAGTAATTTTTCACCACCTGGTCCAGTTTAACATCACCAGTAAGAAAACAGATGACAATGATCCTGTTGCCCTGGTAGGATGTGCTGAGAACACCTCAGTGATGTTCATTACAAAATTGTACAGCCTCAGTTTAGCAAAAGGGAAGCATCACACAGCTGAAATTCCACAAATGTCAAGATTATAAAAGAAGATCATCTCAGATAAGAGGAGATTAAAGGCCTTGACACCAAACTGGAGCATAATATCTTAAACTGGACCCCAAAATAGAGAGAACATACATGGGGGAAAAAACTGGTGAGCCATGCGGGGAAGCCTGCAGTTCCAGTTGTGAACTACCTGGGAGGCTTGGGCAGGAGGATCACTCGAGCCCAGTGTTCTGGACCAACCTGGAAAACATTGCAAAACTTTGTCTCTTAAAAAAGTAAAACTGGTGAAATCTCAATCATGTAATTTATGGATAATATCATACAAATATTTATTTCCTAGCTTTGTTAACTGTACCACAGTTATGTAAGATGCTAACATTGGGGAAAAATGAGTAACAACATACGATTTGTGTCATTATGGCAACATTTCTGGGGGTAGGAAATTAATGAAAAATAATTTTTAAAATGTTACTAGTACACATTTACAATATATAATAAATGTACTCATTGTGGAGAGTTAGTACATATGCATATCACATGTTACTCCTTTTTATTTTCCCTTCCTTTCCCTTCTCTTCCCTTCCCTCTGCCTCCCATCTCCAAAAGGTCTATCTCCCTGTTTCCTACCATCTTTTACTTTCCTCTGTAAATTATTTATACTTTGAGAAACCATATTTTCTGCGTTTGATTTATTTCACTTAGAATTATGATCTAAAGGTGCATTTTCTACAAATTACTGAAATTTATTGTTCTTTATGGCAGATTAGTAAATACGTTAAAATATTCAAATGTGTTCCAATTTTGGATTCAGAACAAGTGTGAACACAAAATTACGTATTTGTTTAAAGTATGTTAAGCACTTACGCATATTTGGCATTTAATATGGATTACAGAGTAAAGTCCTGGTCCACAGGAATTCTAACATAGTCTGTCTCAAAGTTACATTCTAAGCCTAAGAAAGTATTCTTACCAAAGTAGTAAAGGAGCACCATGGTACTTCATAACACAGCAGCAAAGGTAAGAACTTGCTGTTGTAGTCAGGGGTTGTGAGAACAATTACAATCGACACAGAATTTATAATATTTTATGATGGTCACCCAGAGTTAACAAAAAAAAATGCATGAAATCTGTCCATAATGCTCAAACCCAGAATATTCAGCCAAGGGCCTGGATCCCACAGCAATGTCCTGCATGAGTCCAGCTGAATCCCTGGAGCCCATGACAGTGCCTCCCATGAGTCCAACTGGAGATCCAGAACCCGCAAGAAGGATTCACGCCAGTCTGTTTTACAGATCTGTACTGGGAAGACCCAAAGGTCACTGTTGGATGCTAGAAAGTCTATGCTAGCGATTTGAAGGAGCTATGCTGGTAGGTTGAGGTCCTACACTGGAACCAAGAAGTGACACTCAAAATAAGTACCAGGGCTGCTCTGAAGAGTACTGCAGCCATCCTCAGTGACAAGATGGTCCTAAGCTCTAAGGTCCTCTGCCAATGAGAACAGTCCAGTACATGCCAGAAAGCCAGCAGGACAAGCTTCTGTTAGAGATTAAACATCACACATCTTACCCTCCGGAACCAGAAAGTGATCTGGACATAAGGAGCACACCTCCCCAAAAGTGAGCCCCAGCTACCCTCACCAACAAGGTCCCAAGCTCCTCCGGTGATAATGGCCGAATTCATTTTGGGCAAGCTAGCCGTGACGAGCTCCTCCAGGAGAACCAACAGCTCAAAACAGCAACATTTAGGAAAACCCACAATGCCCCGCTCTTCTCCACATCTCTAGCTGGCAACTTTCTTCAGCTTCTACATTCAGCACTGTACCGATTTAATTTAGCTGGTTTTTAAGTTGACCACCAGTTTTTAATCCATAACACTTGCTGAAGAAAAACCCCGAGAGTGTTTGAAAGGTCCATGGGGTGGGTCCTTCCAGGACTGCACAACCCATTGGCCAACCTTCACTGCCATGCTCTCATTGTCACAAGCCCTATTTTCCTAAAACATACGTTTTATTAAAATGAGGAAAAAAATACTTCTCTTTTCAGCATGATTGGAGAGAAATCCATTAAATTCTAGATATTTGAAAGAAAGAAGAGGTGCTACATGCCAAGGAAAAAATACTCTGTTAAAAAAAAAAAAAAAAAAAAAACTTTATGCTATAGTAATAGCTAGCATTCATTCAAAGTTTACAATGTGCCAAGTCTTGCGGTAAGCTCTTTCTATTCAGAATCTAGGCCAGTTCCCTAGCAACCCAAAGAATTAAGAATTAAATTTAATACTTGAATTGCAGAAACTTGGCTGGGCATGGTGGCACATACCTGTAACACCAGCACTTGCAAGGCTGAGGCAAGAGGATCACTGTGAGTTGGAGACCAGCCTGAACTGCATAGTGAAACTCTTGTCTCAAAAAGATAAATAAATAAATTAAAATCCAGGAACTCAGGTATTGCAAGATTGAGTAATGTGCCCAAGGTCACCAAGCTAGGAAAACACATATCTAAGAATCAAACCAAAGTCTGCCTGACCTTAGGGCTGACATATCTATAATACAAAACCAGATCTCTTTATTAAGTAGTAGAACTTTCTAAACAATTGTATGATGTATTTACAAGATTTAGAACACACTAAAATTTTTAATGTTTTACAAACATGATCAAAGTGAATGTAATTCACAGTTCTCTATAAATAAATACGTAATACTGCATGGATGGAAAACTTACCTTGCTTCATGTATAGATGAAACTTGGCTCTAATCCTATGCGCTTTTGTAGATGGACTGTTAATTGTGTCTTCCTACAAAAATTGGGGTGATTGCCTGCTGCCCCAAAGGCAAACAAAACTACTTTACCTAATTGAGAAAATACTGCTGGTTAAGGAAAGGATGAAAGAACAAATTAATTCAGTCTTGGCTGTTGTATTTCTTAAATAGAATACAATCCTCCAACATGTCAAGGGAAAACCTAAATTATCTTCAAATTCCCTTTCCGTCTATTTAGCCATCTTACTCTCCCTCACCATTGGCAACACAGTCTGTCTTTGGTTTGTTTGGAGTTTAGATGGTCGCTTTTTAGCGGTATATATGAAATGTGAGGGTAGATGGAAAGATTATGTAGAAAAGCTCTCACTACAGCATTCCTTCATTGCGCATCTGTTTGCTCACCTACTAAAGTATGTATTTTAATCACTGCCTTTGTGTAACGCACTGTACAACAGGTAGAGAAATGGAAATCAATATAATATCCCTGCCATCCAGTGAAAAAACACAAGGAACCAACTGTAGAGCTGAACTTGGCCCCAAAGGAGTGTCAGTCATAATGAAAATCCATAGCTGACTTTGCCTAGGCAAGTCAAGACATTGGGGTCTGGGGGTAAATGGGGATTCTCCAGGCAAAGGAGGAAACAAATGGTACTCGACCAACACGCCCAAGGAAATTACTAGTACCCTTCACGACCATAGCTCAGGCTGCCAGAGGCAGGATTCAACCCTGGAAGGTCAAAAAGCCAAAGTGACATGGGAATTCTGTTTACATTATCACAGTTGTCTTCTCACAGAATAACACACCATATCTTATCAGTGTAGCTCTAATGGAGTGTGTACCATGGGGTGGGTCCTCAAAGGTAAATTAACAATCCAGTGATCTTTTCAAATGAAGTGTTGTCTATCATGACCAGTTGTAAAACTAGGTCAACTTTTATTAAGCCCTTGTCATTTTTTTAAAAAATATCTAATTGTGAGGCTGGGGATTTAGCTCAGCGGCATAAGCACCTGCCTTCAAGCAGGCGGTTGTGAGTTTGATCCCCAGTACTGATAAAAAAATATGTATATATCTAATTGATATATTGCCCTCTCATGGTTCTAAATAAACCTTTTTTTAAATCAGTGGTTATATGATCTTTGGCTCTTTCTGAGTTAGGATTTCACTAAACTACCTACTTTGGTTCAAACCTGCAGTGCTCCTGCCTCAGCCTTCTCAGTAGCTAGAATTACAGTCATGTGCTACTACACGTGATTCACTGTTTTTAATAACAAATTTTCCCCCAAGAAATAGTTATATTTTTTCTGTTCTAGTGTATTTTATTAAAGCAAGGTGTTAACAAGCAAACAGGTATCTTATTTTAAAGGTAATAAAACAATAAAACAGAACCAAACAAAATAGAATACTGGATTTCAAAAACAAGACAGAAGGAAATTCCCGTTAGTTGCCATTTTGCGTATTGTTACCCTCTAAATAGATGTTCAGACTACTAGTTTTAGATTTGAAAGTCAATTAAATAAGCATTAAGTTGTTTTTGTACCTCAGTTGCCATCAACTCACCCTGTTTCTCCAAATCAGTCAAGTTGCTTACTTGGAGAGGAAGAGGCAGTGGTTGGGTCTTCTTGTCTCCCAGACTGCACAGCTGCTGGCTCACAAGGAGGAGTTGGCTTCTTGGTTCTCGTCCTGGCCTGCATGGCTGCCATTGGCTCACAGGAAGAGGTTGGCTTCTTGGTTCTCTTCCTAGCCCACCAGCAACCAGATATAGTTAGGCAAAAATAGGCTGCCTCCCAGTTTGACAATCACTGAGCTCTGAACAAATGTTTATTTTGATACATTGTTATGAATGTGTGCTGAAGACTGTGGTTCATGATTAAAGTCATCTTGAAAGAAGATCTGACCTAACTCTTCCCAAACACTAATTTGGGTATGTTGGTAATGTTTTTGTTTTTGTTACCTCAATTTATTTCAGATTTTGCTTTTGTCTGTTGTGATTTCACCTTATTTCTAATTGCATTGATATGAGTCTTTTCTTTCTTTTTTGGTAAGACTGGCTAAATGTTTGTCTTTTTTATTTTATTTTATTTTTTTTGAAGAACCATCTCTTCAACATATCAAATCTTGACATTTTTTAGTCCTAATTTCAATAATTTCTTCTCTGATCTTTATCACTTGTTTTCTTGTACTAGCTTTCGAACTGGACAGTTTTTATTTCTCTGGGAACCTATGTGATGTTAAAGGCTGGTAAAGAAGCTGTTACACCAAAGTGTGATAAATGTTACAGTAGGAATGTTTATAATGAAATAATGTGGAACACCTGAACATCTAGTCCAGACTTCATCTATGAAGGTAGACTTCTTAGAAAATGTGATTCCTAAGCAGAAATCTGAAGGATGTGTTAGATGAAAGAGGGAAGGGTAATTTCAGACATTAAAAATAACATGTGTGAAACTCAGCCTGATGTATCCTTTCAGAAATGTTCAGATCACAAAGTACAGAAGAGAGCTTACAAGCACACAGAACATTTGAAAACACATTTTTTATTTCTGTTCCTCCCTAAATTCCCCCTTAAGTTACAAATGAAGTTAGAAAATGAATTTGATGACAAAGAGAATGGAAGAAAGGACAGCACCAAAACCTTGAAAGCTAAAAAGCAAATGATCAGATAAGCATCAATCAGTCTCTCTAAGATTGGAATCCAGACACTGGAAAATGACAACTTAGGGAAGAAAAAAAAAGAAGTAGATCCCCCAGGAACCAAGAAGGATCTGACCAGTCAGTGC